GTGTGCAAACGCACCCTGCTGCACATGGGTCCTGCACTCACCCGGCACTGAAATCTCGTATGTCGGGAAAACTCCCAGGAAAGCGTTGAAAAATGAGGAGCAAATGGGCTCCTTTCTRCAAACAGCACGTGCACGTCTGTGCAGTGCTGCGTAGCACATAGAGAGTTCTGTCTGCTGTACCCAAATTGTGCTTTATGTCACATGTACTCCTTAAAAAGAACAAATAGCATTTTTTTTTCTCATTTTCCTTCTAGGAAGCAATGGTCCTCAGAAATTTTGCATTGAAAAAGTTGGTAAGGAAACCTGGTTACCGAGAAGCCACACTTGGTGAGTTGTTTTTACATACATTTTGTGTACCATTAGTGGTTCTCTCTTCTGATTTTGTACTTATTCTAAAAGCTAAAATGAAATCTGATTTGAATCTGTGATATCCATCTTTGGTTTCTTTGACTGCTCTGAGATGACAATATTGGAAGTTCTACTGACTACCTTATTTTATGTTTTTATATTACATTCTTATGTTTTGCTATTGTGTTGTACAATGTCAGTACCAGATGCATCAAAATATTATCCTTCTTGCACAGAACTGAGATTTCCCTAGTTCTTTAACTTAAAGAATATCAAATAACTAAGAAGACGTGTTGTTTTCAAGTTKGTATACAGTTATTAGGTATACTTGTTACATTTCATAGTGTTACTGTATAATCATACAGAATCACAGGATGCTTGAGGTTGGAAGGGACCTTCAGAGATGATCTAGTCCAATCCCCCTGCTCCAGCAGGGACACCCAGAGCACGGGGCAYAGGGCGGCATCCAGGYGGGTTTGGAGACCTCCAGAGAAGGAGACTCCACAACCTCCCYGGGCAGCCTGTSCCMSKGCTCTGTCACCCTCACAGTGAASAAGTTCTTCCTCACATGGAGATGGAACTTCCCGTGTTTCAACTTATTATTTCTGTCAGGATATAATATAGAAATAATCATACAGTCATGAGAGAAACTGGTGCTAATGAAAGCACTGCAGATGTTCAGATCAAGCTCCGTTTGGGCCCGGCTCCCTCCTCGCTGCAGGCTTTGGATGCTGCRCCTGGCATGTGCAGCCCCAACCGGTGCAGCCGGCAGCTCCCCTTGCTCGTGCCCTGCGGGAGGGGAGCAGGGCCCCCTCAGCAGCCCTGCAGCGGTGCCGCCTGCCACAGCAGCCYGGGTGTCACACTGTTTGCTGCGGGGGCCCCAGCGGGTGCCGCTTTCCCGAGTGAGGGGCTCAGGTTGGACACCAGCTTGGCCTAAGGTGGCCGTGGGGCTGAGGGAAGGAGACAGAGCCGCGGCAGGRGTCTCTTCGGGCCAGGTCAGAGGAGGAAAAGCTCTTGACGGGTAAATGTAGCAAGGAGAAAAATTGGGCGGTTTTAGGTGCCTGAATTTGAAGACTTATTTTGCCACATTTTGGCTAATTTCCCAAATTAGGATTACATTAATTTCATGGTGAATATATTCTTTTCTGAATATGGTATATCTCTGAATCTCGGGTTTTCGTTAGTCCTCAAAGGTTATGGGTTTTTTTTATATAATGTGACAATTGCCTTTTTTGTCCTTAAAATATCCCTCTAAAATGTGCTTTTTAAGTGTTCATAGAAATGACAAAGCCGTTTTTTTAATTTCTCATTTTTAGATGACAACATTTTAACTCCTATCTTAAAAGTTTTGTGATGTTCTTCTACAGGTATAGATAAACTCACCAACTCTGTTTTGATTTCTGTTTTTTGTTATTAATGTTTTATTCAGTTTTAATCGTTTGGATTTGCCACCATATAAGAGCTATGAACAACTGAAAGAGAAGCTGCTCTTTGCCATTGAAGAAACAGAGGGATTTGGTCAAGAGTARAAGTGGCTCCTGCTTCAAAAGGAGAGCTTGCAAACTAGAAGGCGCAGCCGACTAAAATTGCACACTTAAATGTATATAAGCTGTTTGTTCTGTACAGTGATCTTTCTGGAACTCTTAAAAGTATAATTGTTCTCCGTTCTTCCACAGAGATATGCAAAACAGTTCAGCCTTTTCTACTTTTATTTATTGCCCTTCCAAATGACCAGAACCCCCCTCATAAATTTTGAAAGCAGACGAAAGACTTATTTAAGATATATATTAAAAATATAAATATATATACTAATGGGCTCTAGTTTTATAGAGCTTGAAGTGTATGAAACATTGCAGCCATTTAAAAGGGCCTGGATTTGCTTTATCTTGGCTTTATTATTCAGAAGAAATGTTAAAACTGCTCTGTGTTCTCTCTTAACATTTCCAAGTTTGTTTTATTGCATGGCTGTTCTAAAAGGAGTTAAAGGCTTAGGCCACACGTATCCTAAATATGTAGAAAAATGCTGCTGGTATTTGAGATGACGGAATATGTTGTTCTGTCAGTTTAACTATTTTAAAACACATAAATAGCTGATATATCCCTCTCTCTACTACAGTGTTGTAGCCAAGGTYATGAATAAAGCCTTTATGACTTGCACAAGAGTCATGTATAATAAGATGAATGTGATTTCATGTTGAAAGCAATTGGTGCCACTGTTCTGACTTACTGTAGGAGCTGAACAGAATATTTTAATTCATTTGAGCAGCATTGAAATTTGTTTACATATTACCTTGGGTTATTGCCACGAGGATGTTAGGTAATCTTTAAAGAAAAAAGTAATAATAAAAGATAAAATACTATACATTTGTTCTTTGGTCTGGTGTCTTGTAGGTTTTTTTTTAAATGTGATGTCCTTTTTCCCAACTTCATAGAGAATATCAATGTAAACTGAGATATAAGAGTATACAAAGGTAATGTGAACTTTGCTGCTTTCTGTGTTCATGTTCAGTTTCAATGATGGGATCTAGTAAACCCAAATGAAAGTTACAGAAGCTTTGCACAGATAAAAATGTTTTTATTAAGTATTAAAGTCATTAAGGCATCCTCTTCAGTTCTTGTGGAAACTCAGATGTTCATGAATTAAGTGTGTCTAAAACCTGTCATTCTCTTATGTAGGCCAAGTTTGTCCTAAGTACACAGTAATACAAAATAATTTCAAAATTTGTCTTATTGATATTGAGGGCATTTGCTGAACTGCAAAAGACATGTAACAAAATCACAAAAACTTACTCGTGAATGATATTAAATGCTACTTTTAGCAAACTGTGCTTCCTATTCTAGAGTAAAATTATCATTTGTATTATGCTTTAAATATTAACTGTAAGTTGATTACATTTAACTTTTACAAAAATTTTGTACACAGGTGAGGATGATCTTAGAATGATTAAAAACACTTCTATAAAATATCCTATTGCACTGTTAAAAGTGTAACTGCAGAAAGAATACCGGTATATCCGTCCTTGTATCCTTCCAAACAGCAACTGAATTCTGCCAAAATTTTATTTTTCTACATAATTGGATATTACATATTGAGGCTTTGCATTCCAAATGCGTGGTGTACTGTGGAGCTGGTAACYTGTACGTAGCTTTGATAGCAGGAGTGGAAGATGCCCAACACACTGCTCTCTATATGGCAGGAACTTCACCCTGAAGAGTTTCAGCAACTTCCACCGTATGAAGGTTTCTCATGCTGTACCAAATATATCCTGTAAAACCATTTTCCAGCACCTACCATTACATTAATTTCAAGTGTAAATCCACCTAAATTACGACGTTTGCCAGCTACAGCAGAGGAAGCTTTAAAACAAGCCCCAAACTCCCGTGCTGGGCAGCAGCAGCTTGTGTGGTTTAKGTGGAGAAATGATAAAGAGGGCTCAATGTCATCTAGCTGAACTCTGTGGATTTGCACTAAYGAGTGACTTGGTGACCCACTACCACCTGCTGAATCTTGTGAATCTGTGAGTGAGTGAACAAAATAAAAGGAGAGAAAAAAAAAGTCAGCACATGGCAAAAATGCACTTGGTTTGTTTTGGTCATTTTTAGGTGTCTCCAAAGTGCAGTAGTTTTCCCCTGTGGATATCAGAAAGCAGTACCTTGTGGCCTTCGGTACATTTATATTAAGTAGTATGTAATCCATGAATTAACTTCAAATGACTGACTAAAGGCATTTGGCTCCCAAGAAAAAAACRAGAACACATATAATGGTCTCTGTGTGGGCATATGCCTAAGGTGGGTGTTCCAGAACCAGGAATTTTAGTAGTAATGCATGGAAACTCTTTTCTGCTCCCATCTGTATGTATGGAAAGTGCAGCTGTACTTGGGAGGAGGGAGGAAGAGAGCTCTGAATAAAGGCTCAGAGCAGGCCAGGGCCGCAATGAGGATGATGGTACTTGATGGAGCTACGCTGTAGTTCCTTAATTCAGTCTGCTCCTGCAAGGAAGTTGACAGCTGCTCCTTCCTGAGCTCCCAAGGATCGTTACCTGGTGCCTGGGTAGCTTTCCTCCCTATGGAGATGCKCCTTTTCAGGGCAAAAAAAAAAAAGATGCAGAAGGTGCTGCTGCCACCAGCTAGAACACACTTGCCAGGCACAAACCTGCTTCTGCCGGGAGCGTTTGCCCGGTCTGCGGCAGCGGCTCTGGTGCGCTGTGTGTCATCCAGCCCCAGACAGCAGGGCGCTGAGCACCTCCTCGTGTTGTCCTACATCAAAATTCAGGAATTTACTACACTGAAGGGGAGAAAAGCAGCTTTTAACTAGCTTCATGATTTGAGGTGAGAAGGAAAGCTGCTCAGCTGTGACTTTTTATCGCTGGCTTGGAAGTGTGGCTTGTGACAGGGCCACTTGGTTTTCCTTGCACCTGCATCCATTGACCCCTAGGTAGGTCATGATGTGGTTCTCAGTGAAAGGAACACCAGGAGTTTATAATTCTAGGCTGCTAGAGTTGCTACTGATAATACTATACAGGATTTTTTTTTTTCATAAGTCCTGTTTTTCTGTTAGTAAAGAATGTTTTTTGAAAATCTTGAATATTCCTGATGCAAATTTTCAGTGTGGGGTATGTAACTTAGGTTAATTCCTTTTGTGTGGAAATTCATGCTAAAATATCAGGGGAAAAGATAGACGTTATCTTAAAAGCTTTACTCCTAACTGGTTTCAGTGTTTTAGCCCTGTCTTCCTAATGTTTTCAGAATATGCATTCCCGGGGTCATAACGGGCTAGTGGCAGAAGGGTGTATTTCCAGCAGCCCTGGTTTGGCCACTAAAGTCTCAGAATTTCAGATCCATTCAAAATGCAGAACATGATCAAATGTCACAAAATGCTGCTTCTTGCAGGGAAGTGCAGGGGGTTCCTGCTTCACCTTTTGTGGTTGCTCATTTTTGCTCAGCCCTTCTTGCAGTCCCGTGTACAGGAATTAAGGTTGCTAGTGTTTTACAGACTTCTGCTTAAGGCTGCACAATCTAAAACTATTAATGTACATTACAGTAGTATCAAAGGTAGCTGAATCACACAGCAAAGAGTGCTACAGAAATTAGTTACAGCTTAATGGCCAAGTAATGGCCATACACCTCTTTTATTTAATATTTCTGTTTCTTATTACTCTTTATACCTAGGAACTTACAGCTGAAAAATATAGAAATCCAACTCAGAATCTCTCAGTYTCTTCCCAGCTACTCATCGATGAAGCCCTTTATTCCCATGTATGTCAACAGACATGAACATGTAATAAAACAAATTAGTGAAAGATAAGTTCAGGCTCTATCTTTATTAAAGGGAGCCAGGAGAACATAAGTAGCAATCTGCTTTGTTTGCTTTTTGTTTTCCTATGCTGGTCACACCTGAGGTGCTGACTTCCCAGTGTCTTGTTGCTTGTTATATAGAATTAAGCAGTTCCAGAGCTTCTTTCTGTACCTAAAAAGAAAATAATATAGTAATAAGGAATCAATGCCATATACAGAAAGGCTCTGCCAGCAGACCTTAGCCTGCAAGCACCTACAGGTGTCACAGTGGTCTATACATTACTGCCCTCCTACAATCAGTCCCCTTTCTTTTCATAGTTGTTGCCATTCTGTAATTTAAGCATAAATGTTCAACATGACTATGAGTGGCAATACATTGTTTTAAACCAGTGCCTGAAGCGTAGCAATTCATTTTGTTTTCAGCCTAGATAAGGTCACTAATGGACTCTTTGTTCAAACAGGAGCGAGTTACTCTCTCTGCCCCTACCTGGCCAGCTGTGGGTTTTCRGAAGTAAAGAAAAGCCAACGCAGAATTGCAAAGTGAGAGACTCCTTTACTCAGGGCTTCTGTCTAAACGAAATAAAATCTGAGTATCCTAAATAGCATCAATATTAAAATGAAAAAGCCTTAACAAAGCAGTTCAGACACTAAGTCAGGTATTAGAGGAAAAGGAGAAAATTTCTGGTTATCAGCCTAAAGACCAAAGGCAGAGACAGCCGATTGTAGTACTACAGYACTGAAGTCTAGTTCYCTCTTTTTGACACCAATTTTGTAGCATTACCCAGAGAATGAAGATATCACCTCCTATCTCCACAGCTTTATAACATTCTAGAAAAGCAAATATGCACCAGCTTGTACCAGCAGCCCAACCACTGCTGCAGCAGCTGAGTGGTTTAAGGGCTTAGCTGTTGCACAAAGACCATTCCTGGCTTTTGCCCAGTTCCTCRGGGAAGAAAGACTGTTGAATGCATCTGAGAAACAAGCAACCACATCCACTCACACCTGCTGAAAGAACTAATTTCATGCCTACCTTAAGCTACTGAATTCCTGCACATCTTCCCAAAGAGTGGATGAAAGGAGTCCTTGCTCACACCTCTACTGAAAGAGGCTACTGAAGAGCTTGCACTCTGGGAGTGACTTCAATCAGTTTGAATCTTACAAAAGGAAAAGCCTGACTGATGTTCCTTCCGCTACAAGATCCAACTGAAGCCCTTCCTACAAAAAGGACATTCGGAATGTCACAACTACCTTGGGTATTTGCTGTAGCAGTAAAAGGCTGCTCTCACACTGCAGCTTTGCAGTGAGTGGATGAGGAGCAGCCACCCCCGGGCCTGCCCGGAYCTGGGTGCTTCGGAGCAAGAGCTGCTGGGCCGGGCGCGTCGCTTCTCCTGGCCACAGGGCAGGGGGAATGAATCTCTCCCCAGCTGCCCACCAGGAAACACAAGGCTGGATTTCAGGGACCTGGCAAGTTTTCCTTCATCCATCCTTTCTTCTTGTGATTCCACTGGAGACTTTTTATTTAGGTCTTTTAAAATGTAACATTTACCTTTTCAGTTTAAGCACAGATTGAGTTTTTCTGTGACCAGCAGAGGCATAGGTTAGCTGCCCTAACTTGAACATAATTAAGGTAACAATAAACATTACCACTAAAAACAAACACACACAGAAAAAATAGCAATCCTTTATTAATAGAAAGCTTCCAACCCTTGTGTTCAGATTACACAACACAGTCTGTGTCTGGATGTAATCCTGCAACAGTTGCTCAATTACAGCTTGCTCTGCAGAAATTTTGCATGCTTCACTGCCATTAACATCACACACGCTGACTCCAGAACATGATTACACTGTCACACTTTTTAACTTCCTACCTGTTTATCCTCCTCTGTATGTGCAGGATATTCCCTGGCTTTGCTCAGCCACAGGAGAGCCATCTTTTTGTTGTTCAACTTCAGGTACGTCTTCCCCAAATAGAGCAAGTTCTTGCTGTAGAAATTGGGATCAGCTGTACAGAAACAGGAATAAAAAAGGTWTGAATGATAGTGGAGCAGCAGACCATCAAAGTCATGACAACATCACTCCCTTAAACACTTCCTTCAGGAAAGATGAATACCACTCTGGTTTAGGAAGCCAATGTAAAAGTTTTGCTTGCTACACCTTCGTACGTTAAGTACATTAATTACACTCTTAAGTACTGCATTCATGTAACTTAAGTAGTTAAATGAACACAGTACGTGAAAGTAAGCCTGTGATAATGGGAAATGGGGAGTCTAGGCACAGCACCAGCTGCTGCTTTTTGTAAAGTCTATGCTTTGGTGGACACAGGAGGTGCAAGCAGAAGTGCAGCCAGCTTAGCAGAATCCRCAAGAGAAGAAAGGGGCGCATCTTCAAATTAGGTAAACCAGCTTTTGTTACATGAAGTGACAGATGACACTAGCTTTGGTTTCATGAAAAATAACAACAAAAATGTCTGGAGCAGCTTTCTCTCTCATTTTTTTTCCCCCAGAAGCTGACGAAGTTGCTTTTACGAGGCGCGTTTTTAGTTACTTACTGTTATCAAAAGACCAGTCTTGCCTACTGCTCATGCTTGGGAGAGCACAGGTTTTCTCAGTTGTTCAGTGTAAAGCCCGGAGACAAAACACTGGCAGTTGTGGGGCTGGGACCGGCCACCCAGACCACATGCAAGCGTCAGCTCTACCCAGGCCTACGCTCAGAGGACTGCTCTGTCACAGACAGCTGCTTATGGGCAGGAAGGTGCAGACATGAGCTGTAATGACTCCTTCAAAACCACTGCCAGACTTGCTGGGTAGTTTTTCAGTCATTGACTTCATTTCAATCATTTCTGTCCCTATTATTTGCAGTTCAGCAGACAGGTTTGTAGCTACAGAAGGAGCCCAAGGAGCCAGAGCTTGGGCCCACTGAGGTCAGACAACCCTCGCTCCCCTCCTACCACCCTCAGTTGGACACGATTTTTTGCAGGCAAAAGCTGGAGATTTGGAACCGAATTTTGAGGTTACATGCCTTGATTAATGCATTATTTCAAGTCATCATGTATTTAAAAAAAAAAAAAAAAATACAAACCAAATTACCTTCTTCTGCCATGTGGAAATACCGAAGAGCCTGTAAAAGGAAAATTCTTCCTTAAAATGGAGCACATGGAACGCAACAATCCACTCAAAGCCCTGCGGATTCTCAGCACAGCTTAGAGCGACCTGTCTTTCAGTCCGTGACGCCCAGCACACGGTTGGTGGGGCAGCACGCACCCAAACACCAATGTTCTCAACACAASTGCTGCTTAGTCAATTATTCCCTGTATTTGTAGCCTCTCGTGCATTTGCACAGTGTCTTATTATTTCTCCCCCAATTCTTCCATGTTCTACTTCCCGTCTTCAACTTGACGCAATCACTGTGAATTTTATTTCTATTTTCTAGTTTCTCTGCAGTGCCTCTCAGCCAGTTCTCATGTATAAATTTAATAGATGAAACAAACCTTGTTCAGAGTACCAGCGTGGACAAGTACTTCATCTAGAACTTACTGATTCTTACGGAATGCTGGCTAGCATTCTCCTCTGAGAGCGAACATTTACGAAAAACACTTTTCAGCGAGTTTCCCATAATGCAGATCAGAAATTTAACTCCATTTCCACTTCTTTCTGATGTTACAGGGAACACACTAATTTTTTTTTTTTCCCTGTTGTGGAAGGATCTATAAAACAGTCCATATTAAAACTGCACAAATTTGCTATCAATATGGCTCTACCACAAGTTCTATGACAATTTTGTTTCTGCAGCCACTCTACTGCAGAGCTTTTTTGCTAGGAATGGTAAGATTCTGCACTACTAAAAATCACAACTGACACTTGGTATTCTGAGACCAATTTTCTACCAAACTTGCAAGCTTGACATTCTTGACAGCTTTGCTTTCTTTCTCAATGAGAACTGACTGCTCAGGCAAGGAAGCTGCCTTTTAAAATTACTTTCTGGTGACACTTCAGCTTCATAAAAAAACAAAAACAAAAACATTGTGGGCCAAATATTTGATTGTTCCACTAGCAAATCAAGATTACAGCAGCAGTTGCAGAAACTTTCCTACTCCTAACTGGAGTTTTGTATAGGCAATTAGTTAATACATCTGTTAGATACCCTAGATAGACATCCTATATTCTCATTTTATTAATGATAGCTGTAAACTTTCAAATTCATGCCCATTTTGTGAGTTCTAGGCTACTCTTGGTGACAGATATTCACAAAATCTACTAGCAGTTTTGTACAAGAAACCCTCTGCGCTGTTCATCACTTTAAGGTGGGCTTTGTGCAGCGAGGCTCGGCCTGAGCAGATAATCCATGAAACACTGCTGTGTCGTTTCATACATTTCATACCTCTCTGTATGTGGACGTGGGAGGCGTCGCAAAGAGCACTGCAGCTATTTTCCTTTGGTACCACGGCATGTCAGCAAAGGAGTAACACCTGGAGTGGAAGGAAACATTTGTGCAGGCACTTCGCATTTCTCTCCTCTTCTGGCCTGGTACTGTGCCTGACSTTACATGTCAGACCAACTGCTTTTACCAAGAACCACGACACCTGCAGTCATCTTAGAAGTTCTGGATGCAAGAACTCTATGTTACAGCCATACCAAACAACTGCAAAAAGTCTAAAATTGCTGCTAAATTCTGCCAAGCAGTTTCTGTGCCTCATTCCGAGGAAGTGTTATTGCATTAGACAGAACTGGAGACCCAGGAGACCCTTGTAGTGCTTTAACCCTTTACCACGTGTGTRCTATTGTTTTTAAAACAATTGAAACAATCACATCATTGTCTGACCTCAGTATTGCCTTGTTTCTTCGCATTTATTAATGTGCAGAAGCAGATCAACAGTATATTCTCCAAATACTGTAATCTATAGAAAAGAAAACAGACCTAAGAAACTACTGTGTTCTAGGCTAGTCCCTTCTACTCAGCATTACTCTACTCAGTCACTTATCTCAGAGATGTTGAAAGAATTAAACATTTGCTAAGTGCTTCAAATACCTAAGACACTCCAGGGTAAATGTTAAAATGACACTACTCATACTTCTTGCTCTCTCACAGTGATTAGAAACGTGTTGCAGAACCTTTGCTGTGCATAACAGCACAGGAGGAGGTAAAAGATTCATAAATACAGCACAGTAGGTTTGGGGGGCAGGTTGGGAACACACAAATTGAGTTGAAATTCCCTCTATTGGGTTTTGCTACTACAGGTTCCCTATCGGAAACACCAAGACAACAGGTTAAATGCACAACAGAAAGTAAGCAAGAGGTGGGGAAGAAAAACAGACAAACAAAACCCAACCCAATCTCTGGTGACACTAAATCCCAGTTTCAGATAAAGAAACCCTGGGACTTGGTAATCAGTACTTGCAAATGTAGGATAGGGACATATTCTAATGGCCAAAGCAACCATGTCTTGAAGACCTTTGTGTTACCTGTGAGGAAAGTTACACCTCCAGCCCCTCACCTGCTCGCTGACAGGTAGCACCCAATCCCTTCATAAATCTKAAGGTGCTATGTTTCAATACAGTACATCGGAAACAAAGCCAAATACAGCTCCATCTTCTGAATAAGAGAGAACAGCCAGACCTTGTCAACATAACTCATCATACACTGCCRGACAGTTCTCATATTTGTATCAACTACTTAACAAGCTGCTCAATTATCCCAAACGCTTCCCCAATACAGTCCAAGTTGCTCAGCTGTTTTATAATCCGGGACATTTTTTTTTCTGTGTCATAAACTGACATTTGCTTGAAAATATAAGGCCTTACCAAATGCCCATAAGATGAATCGATGTAGCATCTTTTGGATTCAGTTCAATGGCTCTCTAGGGAGGGGGGAGGGAGAAAAAAGATGTTAAAAGTTGTTCTGCCACACAGAGATTAATACAGATACAAATGTGTGTGTTTATACAAGACAGGTAAACTTCTTTTTTAATCTGAGCCAGATTAACCATGTGCAGAACTTCAACATGTACAGGATTTAATGCACATCTATCTACCTCCAAATAACTGAGGACATGAGTGCATTTAAAGCACTTGCATTCAGTAAGAGTAGAGTCCCCCAGGAGATTCCCTGTGCTCATAATTTGCTGTAATTTCTGGTGATATTACCCAAATCAGCAGCCATTTTTCCTAATCAATGTTTGGTTTTTGTTATTGCTACACAATCCACAGCTACAGGTATAGTCACACATACATTTCTCAAAAGTTCAACTACACTTTATTACTCCTAACAGGAGTCAGAAGCACTTCAGCTAATCCAAGCACTCTCTTCTATATGGACTCAGTTTACTGCAGGAAGCAATTTACATTCCTGGTAGCTGCAGAGTTCCAGGAATAAAAAAATAACGTGAAAACAGAAGATCCTCAGGGGATAGGAACAGAAGCACCCTTGAAAGTTTTCCTGAAAATCAGTTCACAACTCCATTCATCTATGTATTAGGCATTGATTCCGTGGCCAAGAAACCCCTTCCTCCCTGCAAAAAATCCATCCCCCCAACTAAATGACCTTACCTGGAAGTGCTCTTTGATAACAAAGGCATTAGCAATTTTAGCCTTGATTCCTTCATAATCTCCAACATCGCTGATACAAATTGCATACCACTGTGATCAAAAGCACAGAAAAATTGAATAAAGCACTACAATCAAATAGGAAACATTTTTTTACAAAAACAGAACCAATAACAACCAAGCACTAGTTGCTATGAAATGTTTAAATAATGGCAGAGCAACCTGCTTGTTTCCACAGAGMGATGAATTGACTTGCCCTTACTCAAAATGCAAATAAAAAAAAAATAAAAATAAAAAAAAAACAGACTACATTATTGCCTCTTCATGTCAGAGAATAGGCATAAAGAGATGGAGGGGGAGGAGAGGCAAAAAGAGGGGGCGGAGGCAAAAAGGGAGCGGGGCAGAGGCAAAAAGAGGGTGAGGGGAGACAAAAGAGGGACAGAGCAGGAGAGCAGGAAGGAAGCAGAGCACACAGTCTTCTCGGTGGCACACTGCAAACCTGCTGGTGTGCGCACTGACCGCGTGCTGGGTGTGTGAAATGTTTTCCTGGGTATGTCAGAGCAGAGACCAACTGCAAAGACACAAATTAGTCACCTCTCCCTGTTGTCCTGAACGCACTTAACCAATTGCTGTTTCCCATATAGAGAAGAATGAGCTGCAAAAGTCTGAAGTCTCATCTTAGAAAGAAGCAAGTGAATAAAAGAAAGTTTCCCTCACTCTCAACTGAAATGCTGTGTTGGACTTGGCTGAATGACAATGACATTCATACCAAGCTTCTGCTGTCAGAAACTGAAGGACAACAACATTTCAGCTGAGTCATTTTGCTTTGCTCACCTTGTGTGCTGCAAAGTTCGATTCGTTTTTCTCGAGTGCCTTTTTTGCATGCTCAAGGGCTTCGTAAACCAGCTGCTTCTTCTCCTCTGCCGAAGTGCTGCTGAGCTGGGCTAGATCACGCGCTGCTCGGGCCAGCCGCCACAGCAGCTCCGCATCCTCGCTAGTCGTGAGCAAAAACACCAACGTTCTTAAATAATAATGGCAGCAACGTAACAAAAGGTCTAAAATCTGTATCTTAATTCTTATTTCAAGAGGGTGAGAAGACAACAGTGGATCATCTGTCATTCTATGCTATACACAATCAGAGCAGACAAACAAAAAAGCCAACAAACAAGAAAAAACAGATGCCAGCCCTCCATTACAGACTGCCTAATGATACCTGTCATGCAACTGTGATCTGTGGAGCAAACCTCACTGCAGGGCAGGACTTTGCTTTCTTGAAGAAGATGTAGATTTAAAAAACTCAACAGTACCACTAGAAATGCAAGAAGGGAAACTGTGACTTCTCTGTTCTTTGCTAGACTATTTTTTCCAGTATTCTGCTGATTTCACATTCATGTTTACAGCATCGCATATCTTTATCCTTGCTACATATCTTAAAATATACATCTTTCACATTATGTATCTTTATCCCTACAGTAGTAGCTAAATAGTGAAATTCTTCCTAGAACAACAGTGAAAAAAACACAGAGCAGCCATATCACCATAAGAAGCAGTACATTTGTATATTTACGGTGTACACAATGGTGTATGGTACTTTATGGCCATTTTGTACAGATGAAGTGTTATTACTTTGTTCATAAACTGCTTTGAAACACTACTTGCATCTTGTTATACTTTAATTCAACTATTATTTTCATTAGTGACARAAGACTTTATAATATTAGAATTAAGTCTAAAGACTTAATGCCAAGAAACATGTCAGTGTTTCTTGGTACCTGGTCACAAAAATCTTATCTCCCTATTAATAGGAATTTTGAAGCCAAAACTAGCTGGAACCAAAAATATTAAAATTCACACCTGATCTCAGAAACAAACAAACAAAGACACACCTGTAAGCTCAGAATATCAGTAAGAGATAGTTTTCCTATCCGGAAACAAATTGCATTGCTACTCACAACACAGCAGTTCTGCCACAGTCAATGGGATGACAGAGAATTAGCAGACTCATTTTCCAGCTGAGTCACAAAAATGTTAAGTGCAGTTACTGGGACCATTACTCTTTCCAGAATAGGAAGTACTGTTCTGATACTAGGTCCCTTATACGTCCCTTACAGAGAGGGACGCTCCTTTTGTTTTTCATGTTTTACATATTTTTCTGGCAGTAACAACAAAAATGAACAAAAAAATAATCTCCATTTCCTCCAGAAATGCTCTACGAGGAATCTGATGCCCCGAGGAAAGAGCTTTCTGAAGGATGTTTTCCAAGCTTTTTCTGCCATCAGCAGTGTTCTGTACAGCTATGACATAACTACAAGCAAGCTGTTTGCATTCAGACATAAATCTTAACAGGAGACAAATGCAAACAGAAAGTGTATTTAGCAATGAAAAAATAAAACRACTCTCAAGAACTTTTAATAACCTAAATTCCTGAAATTTTCATTGTTTAGTGATGTGTAGTTACATTCTTTTTTTTAAAAATAAATTTTAAGGAATTCTTGAAATAACAAAGCAAATAAGCAAAAAAAAAAACCCTACAGCAGTGAAAACTAAGTGTCAACCGTCAGCTTCTACAGCTGTGCTCAGCTAACAAGCAGGTCCATTTCATCCAGTTTCCCTCATGAGGAAAAATACCAATGGTCTGTATTTTCCTGCTTTTACAGAGAGGAAAGCAAGATTCTCCCACATACCACAGTTCAACTATTAGCTGAAAAACTAGTACAGAAGAGCACAGTAAAGTCAAAAGAACGTGAGGATATTCAATGTAGCCAAATACCTAGTTTTATGTTGAACCAGCAAGTGATAGAGTTTTTCAGTTTCTCCACTCCCATACAGGTAGTCTGCTTGCTCTACAACTTCTTCTACTTAAGAAGGAACGAGAATCAGGGAAATGTGAGAACAAATTACACGTAAATGGTATATTACAGCATAAACACAACATTAAGAGCAAGATGTTCCAGCTGAACCACAAAAAGCAAGTTAACTAGCTCCTTTTTAGGCCACAGTTCCTAGGGATCAAATCAAGCAATGGCTCTAACGTGAGGCAGGGCTGGTAAGTTGCATTTACCACAGCTAGAGCAGGGCTGGGGAGCTCTTCTCTTGCAGCTATGAAACAGCCTTTGGCAAAGAAGCTTTAAAAGTTTAATGGAGTTACATTAAGTGTCTTTCTCAAAGTGTCAGGCAGTAGAAGCAATAGGTGAGCAGCTGGAAAGCAGAAGAAATAGCAAAGAAAAAATGACCAGGAAGATGAGTGCCAACAGACTGCATGGAGCGCAACTCCCTAATTAGGAAATGTGTTGAATTTGCAGATAACAAACAAAGAAATAAAAGAAATCCAAAAGGTATTGTTAAAACAAACTAACAAAAGAAAAAAGAGTTTTGTTAAAATATTCATGATTCCCAGTATGATTACATAGGTCAAAATAGTGCTGCAGATACAGGCTCATATCTTATTCAATAAAACAAAATTAAACATTATTTAAACTTTTGATGATTGAAGTGCTTAAGATTTTCACAGATACATGACTCCAAAAAATATAACTCATCTACAGAAACATTTATTTTTCAAAACACTAAAAATAAAAATGGACAAAGCAGAACCTGAAAAAAAGAGGCTGGTTTTCTACAGTATTAATTATATGAAGTATACTCTGTTCTTACAACATCCTAAGTTTTATTCCAGAGAATAGTTTAGGACACTAACAATATAAATAGTGCAGTAAGATTTCTCACAGTTGGCTGAATTTATATATATACACACACGTAGGAATAATTATATTTATCATGTACTTAGTTTTATACTTACATAAATAAAACTAAGTATATAGAAAATTAAGTGTGTGTATATATATATATGTAAAATATGCCCCACAAYCAGCAATATCAATTAACATATAGTAGTACAAGATTAGACAGAATGTGGAGAAAAGGAATATTCAAATGGAAGCATGTAGATAACTCCATGAAGTATGTAAGTGTATAGGAGAAAGAACTCCAAGGCTATTAAGTGTAATTTTTTTTCATGCTTTACTATTGGCAGAAGAGTATTTAGTAAGTCAGAAGCCTTGATTAAGTTTCTTTTAGACTTTACAATAATGCATAAGCACTTTCCACTTCCTGGGCATTACTCCTCCATCTGTGATTAAACATAGGACTTACTCCTCCTTTGCAAAGATCCTCCCCACTTCTTCCAAGTTCTTACTGAAGTTTTCACCACAGTGAAGTTTTATTTACAGAACAACAGCCCATCAAAGACTGATGAAAAGAACCCTCTCATCTCCATCTAAAAAGCTTCACTACTCACAGCTCTACAAAAAGTACAAATCCAGGAAGATTAACAAAGCAGCGTGGGCAATTCTTTTACTCCGTCAGCTCTGAACATCTTTTGTTAAACATTAACCACTTAAAAGATAATTAATGGTCTATCTCAATGGATTTAYTTAAGTCTTTAAGATTGGCTCCAGAGTACATGTTCAATTTTACCTTCACCGAACTGCATTATTTGCTCCTTAAGACACACTGCAGATAGGTTTCATTAGATATGTTAATCTATCTAACACACAACACTTCCATCTGAACATTAGGAGGAACTTTTTTACKGCGAGCGTGACTGGGCAGGGGATCAGACTGCCAGGGGAGGCTGGGAATTCTCCTTGCTCAGAGATGTTCCAGAGAGGTCCTGGACAACACGACTTAGGTGACCCTGACTGGGYGGCAGGATGGGACCAGAGCATCTCCAAGACCTTCTTCCAACCTTGATGGCTCTGCGAGCTCAGACCTCACACTTCTCAAAACATCACCCACCAGGTGTCTTAGCTAAGTTATTAGGTATTTATTTCTTCAAGAGTATTTATTAAGTATTTCTTTTCCTTTGCATGTGTCCTGTCCTACCAGGGCAGGCAGGATGCTGGACCTGCCTTCAGTGCCATTTGACAGAACTGCTTGTTTAACCACCACTGAGCCTTAAAATTTTGACTTAATTTGAAAGCATCCTAACATGGAAACACGTCCATCACAGCAGGGAAACTTTACAGCCTAATGCAGTTTCCCTTCACGATCCTGTCACCAAAAGCAACAACTTTGCCACGGAATGACCAGCACACCTCAGAATTTGAGACACTTACCCTTGGAGCTGGCGTGGACCTCTGCAAAGCGGGAAATCAGCCCGTAGGCTTCATAAACCAGGAARGACCCTGCTGACAGCACAACCCCCCTCTTGAAGCCTTTTCCAAGCACCTGCAGGAAACCATAAAATGYACATTAATAAATATTATTACGATGATTTTTTTCTACGAGTCAGAAATTTGGAATCTGGATTGCAGAAAATTATAATGGTATTTCTGACTTAGCACAAGAGAGGGCTTTTGTATGTTAAATATATAAAAATACAGATAAATAAATGCACAGTATCAACATGCTTGCTTCTTTCCAAGCTTTCCAGCAAGGAGATCTACTAATAATGCTTTAAAATATGAACTAAGCACTTGACTGAAGCAAAGCAAGGAGAGCAGCAAACACACGCCAAGAAACAAGGGGGGAAAAAAAGCTTGGATTTTCCGGGAGCACGCAGGGATTCCGTAGGCTCTGAGGCGATACGTGTCTCGCGTGACCCCCGTGCCCGCTGCTCCCGAGGGAACCACGGCTGGGTCCTGGGCTCCCGCCGGGCTACCTCGGTGCCAGCCCCGCTCCGGCCCGCGCCGCCCCTCGCCGCCCTCAGCGGCGGCAGCGCCCGCAGGGAGGCGACGGCGCCRCGGAGCGGCCGCGCCAGCGCCGCCATGACACCACTCGGCCCCGCTGCCGGCACTCTGCGCATGCGCCCTGGGGCGGGGGGGGAGCGCCGCGCCGAGCGGCCTGGACAGGTGAGGGGGCGGCGGGGGGTAACGGTCGCTAACGGTCGCGTRGGGGGTGGGTAACGGTCGCGCCGCGGCCTCCGACCGTCCCGCGGGCGGGGAGCGCCCCTCGCCCTTTAGGCGAGGGGCGCTCCCCGCCCGCGGGACGGTCGGAGGCCGCGGCGCCGCTCGGTGCGAAGCTTGGCCGCTCTGCGCGCTCTCGGCTCTCGTTCCCCCGTAGAGGTAACGTGGGGAGGCTCCCGGGTCTCTGTCCTCCTCGTTCCCACGGGGGTGGTAGAGTTTTGCCCACTCTCTGCTGGGGAGTACAGGAGCTCAAGTGTTAAAGGTACCTCTGTGGCAGCACAAAAATGCGTATTTGGTGCAAGAAGTGAGATTCAGACTTAGTGATTAACATTGCTCCTTTGTTTGTGTGTTTGTTTTTCTCCTTTTTTATGTAAGGTTTTAAATTTGGGTATGTAACGAAGAGGAGATTTTTCGTTTTTCATCCCTAAGTAAGTCTTGTCTGTTAGCAGAAGCAGGAGGAACAAGACAGAAGTATTTATGTCTGTTGTGGCACTGAGGAAACTATTATGTTTGTCCAAAAAGCATAACTTGTTTGCATTAAATATGTCAGAATTCATCTATAGAAAACTAYAGAAAAACAGAAGTTCTATTCCAGTAAGTCAAGTAATAGTTTAGTTCTTGCTGCTGTCATCTGCAAGATATTCCAGAGATTTTTACTGCACGTCTGTGTTGCATTGGGATTCCACTGGCTGTATTGCAACCAAGACACTAGTGTTTTTCCAACACTTAAAGCTATAGAGAAACTGCAGTAACGTATGCTGTAATAGCTATGTAGTGCTATTGACACTGAAGATTTGCCCCTGGGGTAAAGGCCCTTCTAGCCTTGAATTTGTGTTGTGGCCTCTTGAAACAAGTAGGCAAACAAAAAATAGAATTCTGATTCCCAGTATCTTACATTTAATATCTTTGCTTCATTTTTAAATGCTGTTTTAAATGTGCTGCTGCTGTTTGGGGGTTTTAGAATGTTGYTATTAAGTGTTCAAATGGCCCCTGTATTAGGCCGTTTGGGGCTGGCTTGCCCGGTCTGAGATTCTGCTTAAGAAATGACCTTAACRATTTGGGTTGTTTGCTCCATACTTCCTTCCGCTGCCAAAAGAAGCCGCCTCCTGTAGATGCTTCCGTCCTGTGACTGCTCTGGTGCATCAGTTCACTTTCTGATCCCAGAGGTGGTTTAGGATTCAGCCGAGTAAGTTGTTGTGCTGGCGGCAGCCTGCCCTGGTGCTCCTCGCGCCCAGGAGCATTACAGCAAATCCTCAGGTTAGTTGATGAGCACTTGTAAAATTATATGATGAATTATAGGAAGTGGCAGATTTGTTGAGTGTGTTCAGAGCCACTGCATTATGTATATGAGGAGAACCTATGATGCCTCCCAGGAGCAGTCAGTGAAGGATGTGAGTACCTGGAAAGCAGCTTTGTGGATTGTACTGAATGATATTCCTGGACCAGTGCAGTATAGGTGTCTCGTTTGTTTGTTTTTTTCTCAACTTTTCTTTCTTGTGTATCATCTTGCGGAATCTTTAAGAGCATAGGAAAATGGAAGTTTCCTAATGCAAAGGCATAGGTGGGAGCTTGCAAGCTACAGATTTTAGTCTACTCAATGTAAAACACTGTCACCTTTTGGAAAGAGCATTGAATGAGAAGGGCAAAGTAATCTGGTCTTTATTCTTAAAGATTTAGGTGTTTTTATTTTTGAATTCTCTTTTTATGGCTGAATTACTTTGTACTTTGTTCTGTGACAGTAAATGGCTATAGACTTGTCATGAATTTTCATTACGTAGAYGAATATGATGCCCAACAGATTATTCATTTTAATAAGAAATAGGGTGTACTTGGTCCTGTTACTTTCATAGTTATATGGGAGTGGCAATTATTAGTTTTAATTTTCATTTTCTATCGCATATTTTTTGTACATTTTTATTGAAGCTTTAGTCTTCTGCTGAGAGGTGCCCAGGCAAGTTATCAAAGATTCACTTTTATGAACTGGCATTTGTAACAGTGAAGTGTGATCACAACATGCCAGGCCTGAAATGAACTGTAAGAAGGATTAGTCTAAAACATGTGATAGCTTGCATCTTGTTTGTGCCATAAAACTTAGCAGGATGTAGTTATATATTCSCTTTTCTTTCCTCCAGCAACCATTAATAGTGTAAAGTCAGTACCCTTGTACATAGACATTAAARTAAAAAGACATGGTTTAAGATACTGCTCAGATTGCAAGGTTTTGTTTTCAGTAAGGAAGTGACTGATAAAATATATCTACAAGAAACCCATTTTTCCCTTACTGTATATTTAATCCAGTAAAATATATTAGAGGTCAGGACATGTTTGTTAATTGATTGTCTTGTTCAAGGTTAAATATTAACTTTTATAGTTCAGCTAGCTCAGATCAAAATATCACCCACATTTATTAAAAGCTTTGTGTGGAAAGGATACTGATGCTGGAAAGAACACTTGACATCAAATATATACTTAATAGGTAAACATGTGTATTCACGAATAAAAGTGTCAACAAAGGGGTCTTCAGAAATTTCAAAGTAATTTTGTGAACAGGAGTCCTGGAAGTCAAAATTAATAATCCCATACAGTGGGATTTTTAAAAATAGAATTCCACATATGTTATTTGGCAAAATAACTTAATGAGAAGCTTTTATATATAGAATCTATCTATAAATCGTTGCTTGACTTGTTACTCTGGTGTTGTGGCCAGTCCAGCACATACATATTTGAACAGCATCGATGAAGCCTATGTAAATAGATGATTCATTGCCCACAGAGAAAATAAATTCTACCATCACACACACTCATATATCACGGACTCCTTAAATATTAGCTCTGACTTCTGCTAGGCCTTTTCCACAGTAAAGTGGGCTCTGTGCTCAGGGGTCTTATATTTATCAGCTTAATTCCACATGTTCAATTAAGAACAATACAGTTCCTTAATACATGAAGGGTTGTGAATGTGATGAGATACAGCTGATACTGAAGAGTCAGTGTGAGCTTTAGAATATATAGGGAACAATTTGAGTTAAGGCATTAATTTCAGCTGCTTCTATTAATTAGCTTATAAGCACAGCAGCTGATGCAACAGGAGAGTTTATCAGCAGTGTGGCCTGTAAAGCAAGAGAAAAAGAGAAGCGAAGAGTTATTTGAAGGTAGGATTTTTAGAGAAGCCTCTAACATTGAAATGCAGTGATTAAATTAGGTTATAAGCTTATCTTGGTATTTTTAAAACTATATAAAATGGTAGATCTTGTGAAGTCTCTCTGGAATTGAGATGTTACTTTTTTTTTTAATATTCTTCTGGAAATACCCACTTTACATATATGGTATGATATTGGAGTCTGTGGGTGTGTCTATACATACACACACAGAGTGTAGTGTCATAAATTGTCACCACTAGACCCCTCAGTGGAAAAATGGCTGTCACAAGGAGTCCTGCAGTTGCTTTGTGTCAGCGGCTGCTGCGGGGAGAAGCACAGGCCTAGAGCCATTCACCACAAAAATACCTGCTTGCAAGAAGTGGTGTCCTGGTCTTGTCTAAAAGAGCGAAGACTAACAGAGGCTTTCATTTTGCATTCAGGAAGTAAGGCTTCCCTTTTATTATTTCAAGATTAGAATTGCTTCAAGGCTTTGATTTTTATAGCATATTTACATAACTTATTTGTTTCTGTGTTGTCATCTGTGCAGTTTCTTGGGAAATACTTAATCTTCCTGGGAGAATCAGATCACYAGTTGTGCATGGTACTGCCTTTTCATTCTGATGACTGTTTGCATAACTCACTTCAGTGCTGTAGCATCTGTATCTGGAAGATTAGCTGATCAAAAACATACTGTGTTATCAAGTTCTGAAATATTTCTCCTACTTTTTCCTTGTTCATCAGGGCTCCAGAGTGAGCACAGATTTTTGCTCTCTTGTCATTTGTAATTTATAGAAGACAGTAAATGTTCTATGACAGCAGCAGCTTTCTTGCATCAGGACAGGTTTGAGACTTATTACCAAACCCTGCTTAGAGTAGTGCTAACATTACTAGATCTTTTGTTTTTATGTAATTATGTCTTCTGCTTGACAGATTTGACTCAAACAGTTGTAGCTGTGGRTATGGAATTATGCTACCCTGGAGAGTCATCAGGGCCAGCCTGTGTTCTCCTCTGGTGTTGCAGTGTTGATGTGACTGTTGCAATCTGACAGTTCCTAAGTGCTATATTAGAAGAGGCTTGTGTCCTTCCTTCAAGCTGAATGCTGTGTTCACAGTTTCTGTGTAAAAGCTGACATAGGTCGGCTTATTTGGTGGATACAGCTTGTCTTTAGTACAGTTATTGGTAGAATTCAGAGAACATTATCACAAGTAAAACTGCAGGACAAGGCTAATCCTTGATTCTTGGTTTTGCTTTGATAATGACAGCTGGAGCAGAAGGATCTGTAATATTCAGTAGACCTAATCATGCTCTTGCTTTGACATGATCCTGGGTAAAAATAGTAAGATACCCCCCMCACACACCCCCATCCTGAGGCTTCTTTTCTGCAGGCTAAACAGGCCYAGCTCTCTYAGCTTCTTAATGAGAAATGCTCCCATCCCTTAATTGTCTGTGTGGCCCTTCTCTGGACTTGCTCCTGCGTATTCRTGTCTTTTTCTACTGCCCAGCACTGGAGCCAGGACTCCAGATGCTGCTTCACCAGTGATGGGTAGAGGGAAAGGATCACTTCTGTTCACCAGCTGGCAACACTTTTCCTGATGCAGTCCRGGATACCATTGGCCTCTTTTGCCCCCAGGGCATTTTGCTGGCTCCTGTTCAACTTGTCCACCAGGATTCCCAGGTCTTTCTCTGTAAAGATGTTATCCAGCTGATTAACCTTCAGCTGTGTATGAGGTTATTCCCCCATAGAAGGGGAGAACTTTTCATAGAATCATAGAATGCCRAAGGTTGGAAGGGACCTCAGAGGTCATCGAGTCCAACCCCCCTGCTCATGCAGGGTCAYCTAGAGCACGTGGCACAGGGCTGCATCCAAGCGGGTTTTAAAGATCTCCAAAGAAGAAGACTCCACAACCTCTCTGGGTTTTTGTTCATTTCCTTTTGTTCAGAGATCCTAGTTAGCCTGTTTCTCYAGCCTGTCAAGGTCCCTTAAATGGCATCACCACCAGCTGGTGTGTCAGCCACCTCTCCCCACTTTTTAAATTTCTGCARCTTTGATTAGTTTGCATTCAGCCCCCTCATCCAGGCTGTTAAGGAGAGCATTGAACAGTATTGGTCTCGGTGACCAGCTTGCAGCTGCGTTTCGTGCTGTAGGTCACAACTTTTGGGGTCCTGAATTTCAGCTAATTTTCAGTCTACCTCTCTGTCTGCTTATCTAGCCTGCACTTAATCAGCCTGTGCACAAGGATGTTATGGGACAGTATCCAGAGTCTCGCTGAAGCAGAGAGAAATGATATCCTCTGCTCTGCTGTCACTTGCTAAGGCAGTCACCTTGTTGAAGGCTATCAGGTTGGTTAAGCACAATTTTCCCTTCATAAATCCCTGCTGACTATTCCCAATCACCACCTTGTCCTTCACGTGTCAGCTAACACAGCCTTTCAAACCTGAGAAGAATTTTCCCCTTTGTGCATTTTTTATGAGGGTTTCTGACATTTTAAACAATCTGTGCAGAGCCCCTACTGCTACTTAAAGGACTTAGATTTTGCCTATGTGAAGTGTCTGCATGACCCCAAAAAGTTCTGTAATGACTGCTATGTTGAGAAATAYGTGTTGTTTATACCTAGGTGAAAGTTTCACAAACATAAATAGTGTATTTGGGGTTAGTGAAGTGTGACTTCTTTTTCCCTGGAAAGTATATTGTTATCTTTTAATCTTTATTAAAAATCAAGGTGTATATATAGCCATATACTGTACAAGCATCAGTCTTGCATTATTATGTTTTTTCTTTCAAGTATAATAAAATTATTTCTTTAAAATGCTATAAAAATATTACAGACCTCTTGAGTTATATAAATATTTATTCCTAATACTCTCAAATCTCAGAGGGAAATAATTTGTATTGTTTTTATTTTGCATTTTACAAAACTGGAGATGGACAGCATAAAGGACCATCTCAGGACTTGAGAGATTTTGCTTTTATATTTGGGTTTCAATATTCATTTCATTTTTTAATTCAAACAGTTGTCTTTTAGCTGCTAGCAACCGTCTCATGTCTCAAACAGCAGCATTTGTATTTCAGTGAAGGGATATGGAGCAGTTTGTTGATTGCTATGCTAAAGGATGCTGTCTGCACACACCTCTCTTGCAAGATCTGCTCTCTTTCCAGATTAGATATATAGTGAGAGAGACAGAAATGCAGAGGAGAGGAAGTTACAAAATGTTTCTGTGAGAAAGAGCATCTAGTATAAGAGAAATGGGGAGGAGTGGGAAACACAAAAGTTAATTATATTAACTGATCAAATGTTTAGGTTGACTTRTTTCTGTCCATTGTTTACTAGTAATTTTGAAAGTAGTACTTAACAAAAGAAATGTGATGAAAGCTTYTGAAAAGACACTTAACCTTAAATAATACTTGCCTTACTCTTTAGAGTTTCAATGAAGAGAATTTTGACCGTTTTGAGAGTATGACCTTGTCCAAGTTTGAATTCTCTTTTGTTTCAGGAAATCATTTGTGCGTGTGGTTGTAGCATCACTGGAGATTAGAATATCATTTTTGTCAGCATAAACTTGCTTTTCTGGAAACAACCATAATGACTCAGGCTCAGCTCTGCCCTGGATCCTTTGGGCAAGGCCAGTGGCCCTTAATGAGTCCTGTCTRGCAGCCAGAGGAGTAAAGAATGGAAAATGTCTCTATAAAAAGAGACCCAAGGAAAAAGGAACAATATTTTTAAAGATATGCTTTCTAAGGCTCAAAAGCATTGGCTTGAAAACAGCTTAGATACTTGGAACTTCACTTCCCCCCTCCCCCCCCTTTTTATCCCAAAGACTGTAACCAAAATTTGGTAAAGWTAGAGGGGGAAAAGGATGCTTGAAGATGGAATCACATTTAGGTGCTTGGGAGGTATAGCAGTATTTCTGTAAATCTGCTGTGCCTCCTATAAATAATGCATGTGCAGGGACATTGCAGTGGCTGCATTACAGATTATTCATATTCTGGTGGCAGCCTCAAGGGTCCATTTCTAAGTGAGCAAAATAGGAAAGGCAGTATATGAAACATGGTTAAGTGAAATGTAAGAAACCTCAGGAAATTCTGATTGCAGTTTTCTTTTTTTCTTCCTCTCTCCCCTTCCTTCCCCTCCCTTCATCCCCTCCCTCCCAAACAAATTCCTTTCCCTGAAAATTGTATAAATACAGTGAAGAGACGAGAAAGGTTAGGCTAAAGTTTCAGATCTAGATACACTGAAATGTGTGTGATGGAGGTGAATGGGATAGAAACAGGTGCCTTTTCTTCCTTACTCCTTTTTTTTTGCCTCACATGTTTTTTCAAGGTAGTTAATCCAGAAGGATCCTTCCTCTAGATTGCTGTAAGGATAAAGTGGTTTGGGAGCTCCTAAAACAGTTTGCGTTTGCAGGTGGATCTCTGTGAAGTATTAGTACTGAGTTAARGGCAACTGTACTGCAGAGGCTCCCTTCCCAAAGAGGTATTAGAAAAGGCCCTCCTGCATGTAAAGAAAATACCTATCTGCTGCTAGTATATGCTGAGTTGCAGTGGAGAATGAGAGTTGCTTCAAAGGAAATATGAGAAAGTCTTTATTTCATGATGTATTTTTATGAGCCCTCAGAAGGAACTCTTCCTCCTAATTTCTTAATTGACTTTAGTTTTGTTTATCCTATCAGAAAAATTATATTTCATCTGAAAGATATTTAAGGAACGATCATCTATTCCTCTTGCTCACAATAAGCATTTATTACTTTTCCAGTCCTGCCAATCTCATGTCTTTTTACAGAGAATAAATAGGAAAAGTATTTTGTGTGATCTGGTTTTATTCATTAAAATTTTATTAAAAGCTATTTTGTCATAAGAATGTTGCACACGTGTATTTTTTTACAAGTTGTAACTTGAAATTTACTTAGTATTCTAAAAACCTTGTCTTGAAAGTGTATGACAAAGTTTACTGTCAGTTGTCAGAAGCTTTTCTGGTGATGTGTCTTGTTTTCCACATGGGTCCGCCAGCTTTCTAAGAAACGTGATCTTGTTTCTTATGTGCAAACTTTGAAGTGAAGTTTTATCTCTCTGTGATAAAGCTGAGAGTATGACAGTTTTCTTGTTAATGTCAGTACATCATAAATCTTTAAGATGGCATTTTAGAGTCCCAGGACACCCTCTAACAGGCTAATACTTCTAATGATCACTTAGAGGAACAATGCACTGTGAACTTTCCAAGGTTTCTTTTTCAATCCATTTTTAATGGTGACTTTTTATTGCTACTTTCCAGCTTAAAAAATGGCAGCCCAGTGTGTGACGAAGGTTGAGCTGACGGTCGCCTGCACGAATCTCTTGGATAAAGATGTCGGTTCCAAGTCAGACCCGTTGTGTGTGCTGCTGCAGAACACAAGTGGTCAGCAGTGGTATGAGGTAAAATGTGATCCTGAGAATAGAGCCTAACTTGTTGGACCTATTCAAACACAGGAGCATAAAACTTTATTTAAAAAAAATTATTCACCATTGTGGCCACTGTCTGGCCAGTCCTAGCTAGATTATGTTTGCAGTAGGTATACAGGTAGTATGCTAGGAATTCTTTTCTAAGGAGTGCTTTCCTCTGTTTTTAATACTATTTCCCTTAACCATACGTGCACAGACAGAAGTCTTCTAGTGCTTAAGTGTGCTTTTATAAAATACAATACTCCAAAACTGTGTCTTGGTTTTGAAAATATGCTGCCTTTATGTTCGTCTTTGCAACACGGGAGTAGTTAGTTCTTACAGGGAACAAAGAGAAACAGTTCCTTGAATATCTCTGACTCACAGTAGCAGATTTTATAACATTCAGTGGTTAGTTTTATTTGAAAAGGCCTATCAGCATATATGTCTATTTTAACTAAGAAAATCCTTCTGAAGGCCTTTAAGTCATTTGGAAGCTTATTGTAGTTGTTTGAAYTGACTAGTAAAATTTTGGCTAAAGTGATGGGTTTTTTTTCTTTTAACTCTAGGTTGATCGGACAGAAAGAATTAAGAATTCCTTGAACCCAAAATTTGCCAAGAAATTCGTCATTGATTATTATTTCGAGCTTGTTCAGAAACTTAAATTTGGAATATATGACATTGACAACAAGACTTTTGATTTGAGTGATGATGATTTCCTTGGAGAATTTGAATGTACACTGGGACAAGTAAGTATGCAGTCCTTTGTAATTAAGAAAATACAAACCTAGTGCAAATCATTAATCACTTTTATCTTAAAAAAACAGCTTTAGATACTTATCGTTGTGTTCTTGTGTAGACAGGATACTGTAATTTGAAAACTGAATTCTTTTTCCCAGGTTCAGTTCACTATGTACCTCTTATTTACGAAGATCTTGAGGTATTTATTTAAAATGTATTCTAAAATCTGCTTCCTAGATAGCTATCTAAATGTAAGAGGACTGCCAAGATGCACAACATAATAATAGGTAGTTATTTACACTAGTGCTTAATTTCTTATTTGTATACTCCCAGAAATAAATGAATTAAATTAGAATGACAAACAAGGGCCATTTTAATTTTCATAATGATTGCCTTCTATGTAAGGCAAGCAGTGATTCTGGTTGTACCTGCTGTTGATGTCACCCTAATTTCGCAATGTAATTCCCATGTTGTCRTTCTAGCTCCTTAAAGGACACAGTAAAATAATCGAGAAGGGCTCCAAGTACTAGGTTCTGTTTAGTTGAATTTATTCACCAGCACAAGATCTTTGTGATAATGATCACGCCAGGCAATGGTAGATGTTGTTATAGGGATGGTCTTATCAATTAGTAAATAGCAACTAAAAATTAGTAGAACTTAATGGAGCACACTGCTTGTTCCAGTAAAATGCTAGCGGTTCTTTACCCTGAGGGTATAGGGGGCTCTCAACCTTATAAGCAGTCACGTTAACCAATTGTCCCAGGTTAAAGGGAGGGGAGGGAAACTCAGAGTAGGGAGAAGAGTTGATCACTTGTCCTTCCTAATCCCTGCTCTACTCGTCGAGGCCAGGTGCTGTTTTGTATACCYTTAGGGAAGGGATGTGTTGCTGTGCTACAGTCAGCCTTATAAGGCGATCCTTGCAGAATCTTCAGGGGACTTCCATATAATCAGCTTTGCACCGCCAGGGAGGCGGGTTTCAGTCCCTTGTCGAGCGTTTTGGAAATGTATCAGTTCTTTGTTTGCAAATTTGACTGAAGCGAGACTGCCCTTCCTCCCCAGGACTTCCTGCTTCCCAAAGTTTCGGCATCTCTTTTCTGCCACACTGGCAGAGCTCCTGCAATTCAGTCACTTGTTAACGCTTTACTCTCCTGTCAGCTTCTTTTAAGTTCTAGTAGAACTATAGAAAGCTTTTCTTCTCAGGAGTGTCTTCTCAATTTTTCCACCACTATAATTATTTTTACTTATAGTGTGTTCGGAAAAAGGAGGCATTGTGAAATTAAATTAACAATTTAAAAGTAGTCATTTGTTTGTGCAATAAAGAAAGACCTAGAGAATGAGTAGARAGTCTTCTGTGAAAACATTGCCTGAAAAGGCTAAATTGTAATTTTACAATCAACTAGAAACTCTACAAGAAGAGGCTGATGGTTATTTGCATAGCAAACACATTGTKTTTATAAATATGTTTGCTGAAGCTGTTTATGAAATGTGACTTGCATCTCTCTAAATGGTATTTCTGAAAAACTTGAGAATGGCTTAAGATTGTAATTTAAGATACTATTGTTGTCCTTGTGTGTGTATTATGTTGCTATAAGGTGTTTTATTCTGCTCATGAAATTCAATATTCATTCATTCATGCATCATGTGAATATTTCTAACTTTGAAGTGTACCAGGTATATATCTATCTGTAGCAGAAAATAGGAAATAAATGCTGTCATCTTCATGACAAAGGAAGCATTCTTAATGTGAAAATACCTCACAGTCTCATTTCCTGCATATGAAAAAATGATTTGATTCCTCTAATAATAATGCTTTATACTGAACTTCTGTTTTGGCAGATAGTTTCTAACAAGACTTTAACAAAACCATTAGTGCTCAAAAATGGCAGACCTGCTGGAAAAGGCAGTATCATGGTAAGATAATACCACTTTTCAAMATTTATCCATAACGTTTGTTTATTTTGCTGCTTAAACATAGCATGTCTAATTCACAGTGGTAGAAGGAGTGTCTACAGCATTTGAGAGTKTGGTTGCAGAGATTATTCCTTTGTTACCAAAGGGGAAGGTTGYCCCAATTCTGCAGCTGAAAAACTCCTTGTGTGCATCTTTGACAGCATAAGGGAATGGACAGAATTCATGGCGCAAAGCGTCAGTGCGTGTACCAGTACGTCCTGATGTCAAAGCAGATTGTGTTGTGGGTTTTTTTTTTTCCCATTCTTAATGCTTTATTTGTGAGTAAATTTTTTTTTTTAAACATCTCCAAGGAATCTTGTGAACAACGTGAGAAAATGACATGGCCTCTAAATACAAGTTACRTGACCTTTGTTACTTTCTTTCCTATCTAGATTACAGCAGAAGAAGTGAAGGATAACAGAGTAGTTATACTGGAAGTAGAAGCAAGGAAATTGGACAATAAGGTATTTAAGTGGTTGCTCTTTCTGTGATGAAGCAGTGAAATTAGAATCCTGTGACAGGGGAAGCATTAGAATGTTAATTCTAATGTTTTGAGAAGTAATTGAGTCCATTAACGTTTTTCTAGAAGAAAAATGAAGATTAACTTCAGAGTAACGTTGACTATTTCAGGGATATTCCTAGAACAGCATTTCACCATGTAAATGTAAATCTTCACAGTTAATTAAAAAGATAAGGGAGTTCTTGTATATCCATTCATTTGAACAGTTTCTTAATTGATTACCTGTAAATTTATTAAAATAAATGCTAAAAGTGTATTTACCRACATAGATCTGCAGTTTTACTGTAAGTACCTGAATCTGTCATGTTAAATAGTTTTGGATTGGCTGAAATTACTGTATTTAAAAGTATATKTTAAATAATAAATCCATCATTTCATTACTGTCCAACTTTGTAGTATAAGTAGCTCCCTGACTACTTAGTCATTTAAGTAACTCTGAGTTTGCTGAAATTGTTACATGTTTAGTATATAGACACTAGAGAAATGTATGTGCTGTTTGCCTAATCTCTTTTATATGTGCTAATATTATCTGACTTGAATTTCTTCATCTGAATAATAACAAGTCTTTATTTGCTAACTATTCCCTAACAAGTTTACTTGTTAATCTAAGTGTATTTAAAGTAGCATTTAATGACATTCATGCCTCGGGCTGTTCTGTGATAATTGCATGTTCTTTAAATGCAGGATTTCTTTGGAAAGTCGGATCCTTATCTGGAATTCCACAAACAAACTGGAGATGGAAACTGGGTGATGGTTCACAGAACAGAGGTAGGATGTTTTCTATCAACAACCTAGAAGCTTTGGTAATTTTGATTTTTAGTGTGTCGTACTGCTTAGAAGTACAGCATCTTAAAAAGAAAAAAAACGGTCCAGTAGTTGATATGCAGATGAGAGTTAGAAATTCGTAGCTGTTCCGCTGACTTTTTGTTACGTGGGATTTTTTTTTCTATATTAAATCATTTTATTCCTTTTAAAAGAAGAGCTTCTATTGATATCAATCAGTTTTATTGGATGTTTTATATAACGAACACATTCTAATGGACAAATTCGACATATGCATCAGTATTCATAGAATCATAGAATGCTTAAGGGTGGAAGGGATCTTTAGAGGTCATCAAGTCCAACGCCCCTGCACACGCAGGGTCACTTAGAACATGTGGCACATGCATTAAGTATTATTTCTGAATGTAATTTATCACTTTTAGCTTGAGACACGCATGCAACAAATATCCTTTTACTCTCATGTGCTATTTCTGCTGAACTATACCATGGCTTTCTTGAGGAAATATTTTTCAGTAATTGATGAATGTATCAGCATAACCATATATATATAAACATAGTGAAATCATAAATTCTTTCCAAAGTAGTAGCAGGATGATGTAGTAGATCACAGTTCAAATTAGAGAATGCTGATTTTAAAAGATGTTATTCGTTTTTTGACAGTGATATTGCATGTTAGGATTTTTGTTGTTGCTTTTCTAAATTGTATAYGTTTGTATTTGTATTATGGGGAGTGACAGGCAGTCACATTAGTCAAAAATTTTTGCTTATGAAAATTGTGGCATGAAGGTAGGACCAGTTTTGATGATTTGATTGTTTACCACTTTTTTGAATACTACTATTTTGACTTTTTTTTTAAACAGGTTATTAAAAACAACTTGAATCCTGTTTGGAGACCATTTAAAATCTCTCTCAATTCCCTGTGTTACAGTGACATGGATAAGTCAATCAAGGTAATGTATAAGAAATGCATGTAATCTTATGAATATATTTAAAAAAATAGGAAATGTAATGAGAAATGTGTTATTTTTAGTTTGTTTATTTGTTTCAAATTATATTGAAAGGGCTTTTTTGTTTGTTTGTTTTTCTCTTTATTATGTATTTGAAAGTCACAAAGCTGTAGACATGCTTTGGGGGGAAAAAAAAATCTCCAATCTATGATGCATAACAGTTGGTCTTTGAAAGTCTGGGAAAACAGTTCAACCCAGCTTTGAAGCTCCAGGTCCGTTTCTTTCTTAGATTATACAATTTGAGTGTTGTGTTGGCCTACCTCAGTAGTGTTAGGAGTGTATGGTGAAAGATGCATGGTAAAGATGCATTAGGATATGCTTTTTGTTTTTTTTTCTATTTTATGAATCTTGTAGCATCTTGTTACTGGTGCACTAGGTAACACTAATGGAATCCTTACTGCACTCTCTGAGCTAACAGATAAATGTTTTAAACATGTTTAACATCCCTTTCATCCCTTTTTTTCTCCTGCTTGTTTTTTTTTTTTTTTCCTCCTTTTTCCCTTTGCTTGCATGCTTGTCTTGTATTACAGTATATTTTTTGGTTTAGTCTTTAACTATCTCCTGAACATGTGTTGCAGCTGTTGCTCCTCTTTCAGCCTCTTGTAACAGTGGTGTAATCGGCTCCAGATAATCTGGCTGTGAATGAGGGAATCAAATTAATGTGGTGCTCCTGGTTGCTGCATCCCACCAGGAGTAAATTAACGACAAGATGAATCCCTCTGGAATGAAACGTAACTTACACTGAARGGGAGGCGTTACCTTTTAAGCAAGTTGATTTTTCTTGCTTGGTGTCTGTAGAGGAACTTTCTATCTAGTTATGGAAAGGGCTTAAAGAGGACACAAGTCTATACTCTGCTCACTTCATCAGTCAGGACTCTTGACCTTTCATAAACTGTGTAGGCACCTTGTTTATATGAAATTATTGCCATTATCAGAGAATGCTGCTCTTTTATCTTCTTCTTAGCAGATAATGAGCAGTCTAGGTGAATTCCTGCAATATAATGTCACACTTGGTCCTGTGTGTTTTGAATAAGACTTGTGAATCTGAACTGTGAATTCTTCCCAGCCCTTAGGATCCTGAGACATGTGGGAACTAGAGCCGATGTGATTTAGCAGAACACTGGCTCAAGCAGCTGGAATGTGGAGTGGGTTTGGTACAGAGGTCTAGATCTCAAGTACGGAGTCAGCAGCTGCTCCTGGCGAGAAAAGGTCTGCATGCAGTTGGCAGGCCTTCTTCTCAAACAAATCTAGCATCTAGCTCAGAGTCGTTTCAAAAGCGGGCAGTAAGGAAGACACAGAGCCTTTCTGTTTGTAGCCCAGATGCCCCCAAAACAGAATACTTGCCCTTGAGGGCTCCTTTAACTTGCTCTGTTAGCCTCCGCAGATGGTCCTCAAACTCTGCATAGTCTTTCAAGGCCATTTCCCTTTCTCAAAAGATCTGAGATAARAGTATAGCAGTAATTTAGATCCTTGGATAAAACTGAATATTCTGTCAGAGGGTCAAGCAAGTCTGCAGAGTGATAGTTTTACTGGGGCTAGTTTTTAACTTCTGCATTTTGAATTTTACTTTGAATTAGTTACGTTTTCTGAATGATTTTGTTTGGGAAATCCTTACCTCATTATAAACTGACACGAGTGTGTTAGGAACCTGAGATTTTAGTATTAAAAAACAAGCAAAAAAAAAATCCACAAACCACTAACTGTTCTTCCTCTGGGAAAGGACAAAGGAGAGCACAATGAGCTGCATGTGACAGATGTAAAGTATATGGCTTGAGGCAGCCTTGGAAAACGCTTAACAGTCACAGCSTGTCACAAGAACCTGTATGGATTAAAATACCTAATTACAGAGCAGCGTAATGAACAACTACAAGCCTAGAATCTCATAAATGCTTCCCTTGCTGCTTTTTAGCTTTTTACTTACTTGCATCCATACTGTTCGTTTTATTTCCTTGCTCCTTTCTTTCTCCTTTCTCCAGAATATCTGGGACAGTTCTTGCTTCTCCGTATGTTGCAGACATGTTTCTCGGTTTAGCTAACAAGCATGTTAACATTTTTGATTAAAACAATTCCCTGAAGATGGAGTGATTTTTTCATCTCTGCCATGATTCAAAATGACATGATAGCACCTAACCAGGTATACTGTAGGCTTTTAATGATACCTATTCAGATTTTTACTTCAAAAACATATATTTATTTCCAGTGGAAATTTGATTTTACTGGTAGTTTATGGGTTTCAGGTGGTAGATTGGATTCCACTCTCTGGTRCATCTCGGAAATGTGGGAACTGTCACTTCAAACGTTAAAACACAAATGAAATTGTATTATAACGCTGTTGAATGGATAAACAATGCTTTACCACTTTTATATGCATGCAGTGGCAGACAAAATTGGCTATTTCTCATAGTAAGTAAAGACACATACTGTATTTTTTGAGTGGCTTTTCACCCATCGAATGACTTGGTTTGTGCATGCAGAGCAATGCACAAACCAAGATGATACTGTGTCTTTTGGATTTATGTATACACTCCATGTGARTCTGTTTGCAGTGAGTCAGTGTTTTTTTTTTTTTCTGTGTTGAAAATGTGAGTGTGTCTCCTTGCATAAGTATGTGTAGGTCTGCTGGGAAAGCAGACATGTAGTTTCATCACACTCTCTCGAGATATTGCCTGTCCAAGAGAGCATTTGTGGGAGGGGAGAAAAAAGGAATGTTTTTGTCTTGCTGAATATTTTAAATGCAGTATTGGAAATGTATATTGGGTTAGATGGATCAAGAATATCAAGCAGGACAATTTTCTTTTTTAAAAAGAAAAACAACAGTGCTAACTTTGAACAAGTATCATAGCTCTTGGTTCAGGAAATATCTTCAGTGTAAATTTCAGATGCTGAAGCACTTGGCTGAGTATCTGATTGGCTCAATTTAGAGCAGCAAAAGAATTTACATCACCTTTGCCACATACATCAAATCCTTTGGTACAGTGACTGCTTGTATGAGATTTGATTATGTTTTTTTATTTGATTTAAAGTTGATAGTATGTGCATGTGCCTGTGTTTTATTAGTATATTCAAGATACTGTAGCAGCAGTGCAAACTGCAGTGTTTAGAGGCATATTTTCAACAGAATAGAACTTGTACATATTTTATACTTCAACATTACTGTTGAATATGTTTTCCAGAAAACTTACTGCTCTTAGCAGCTCTYGTGTGTTGCAGTTACTCATTTTACTGTGTTATTCCTAAATGAAATGAGCAAACAATTCAACCTGTTTTTCTTGAGTATATCAAAGGATTTTTTTCAAAGTGGAAAAGACATGAAGGCAGTCATTCAGTTCAAGCTGTATATACGCTATACAAATTTTCTGAAAGCTAACACTTTGATCCCAAATAATTCCAACCATGACTCTTAGTGTTGTTTTTTTTCCTTTGATCTGATTCATATAAGTAAGTTAACTGGTATGTCTGTCTTGCTAAAGTAAAATAAAGTCACATATTATAATACACATTTTTTTTTACTTGGCAGAACGCTTGGGGCACATTGATAACTTCAATTTTTAAAAACCAAGAATTGAGAACATCATGAACTTGCATATGTTTTATATCTCTTAGAAATGACGTCTCCTAATCCTTAATGACATCTAGAGAYAAGTTCCCTAGCCTCCTCAACACCATCCCCTCCCATGCATTTCAGTAGAATTGATGCTCTGCCTAGTTTAAGGCTTAACTGAATTTTAGTGTAAGACCTGGTCTCAAATCCAGTCGATTGGATTTACCAAATGTACCAAATTGCCTCACTAGCACATGGGAAACTCCAYGATGTAAGAGATTCCATAGTGTTGTGTATATTGAGTTTTGTAAAATGCCATTAGAAACACCATTGCAGTATTAATTACCTTGGTAGGATATTGATGTTACTAACGCTGCATAATGGTTCATTTTAGGTAGAGTGCTATGACTATGATGGTGATGGGTCTCACGATCTCATAGGAAGCTTTCAAACCACAATGTCAAAACTGAAGGAAGCATCTCGGTCATCACCTGTAAGTTTTGTATAGTCTAAGCTGCCTGTGTGGTTTTTATTATGCTTTCTCATTTTGGGGCTACATTGCATCACTAGATTTGCTTTTGGTGTGTAAGTTGTGTTTGGCTACAACTTCAAATGCTAATTTGGTTGACGCAGACTCAGAATTTACATTAGGAATTCATTATTCCAAGGTCTTGGTTGGTTTTCAGTGCTAAAAGTGTATAAATACCAAACATTCCTTTGAAATAAATTTCATAGATTTAGGAAAAAAGCCAAATTTAGAAAATACAGATAGGCAGAATACACAATAAAGTACAAATTTTCTTCCAGTTAAAAGGACAAAGCTTGTAGCACTTCTGTGACGTTTGACTTAATCCTTTATTTGAAGTGCAGCGCTCATCAGCTACAATGCACCATACCTCAGTGAATGTGAAAGACCTCAAGGTTTAGTTACCACCATACACACATTCCCTTGATGTGTTATATCAGATGTCTGCTGGAGTAAAATGATCTTTTGTGTTTCTTACAAGCATTAACAATTTGCAAACCTTGTTAGAAACAGAGCTTACATTTAAAAAAATGAAGGACAGCATAGCAACTCTTAACATAAAAGTCTAATGGACAACAAAAGTATTATTTTTTTCCTTTAATTCTGTGCAATTTGAATTAATTGTTCATGCATTATGAATAATGGGATATGTCGAGTGCCTGCTTGTACTGCTTGGGTGTTTGGGTTTAACTGAATTCTTCAGAGCTGCTGGTGATTGAAAAATGGACTTTGAATGTAGAGTGTCTGTGAGTTAGTTTTGAACAGTGCAGGGCTATTCATTCTGTTTCGTATCTGTTAGGAATTTTGAAATTTTTACCTTATTTAATTTGCTAGGTGGAGCTATTCTTTTTCCTAGTTTTTCTGTGTCCAGATGATGACAGTTTAGCTCTCATTGCTGACAATTCTCCTTCTTATTATTGTAATTAAAGTATGCACGTAGGAATGGGAATGGACCATGTAGAATTTAATGAAATAGCTTATTTTTCTCTTCTTTTATAATACACTGATTTTTAAAAGTGATCTTACACTTTTGTTCGTACCATGAACTGAGTAAACCTAGAAGGATTCTGTACATTCATATTTTCCAGCATACTTTTTTCTCTGAGAACCACAACTGTAACTACCCGGGAGTTGTGAATTGTGCTGTATAAAGACTCCTTGGGAATACATGTGGTTATTTCTATTTCTCCCCTATCAATGGAAGAAAAAGGGGAGAAATGAAATAGGCTGGGTCTCTTGTGAATTTTAATTTATTATTATTATTATTATTATTATCTGCATGGTTTTGGAAGTGCTTTAAGAAAGCCTTCATGAGCATCTTGGCTATACCTGTTCAGAGCAGCTGTGTCAGAATGGAGTAAAGATGGGCAACAACACAGATAAATAGGGTGCTCAGGCGGCTTCTGTTTTTAAAGGGAGCTGTTCTCTAATCCCATGTGATTTGATACTGTCCATAAGGTGTTTCCAGTGCAACGTGAAGTTTGACTTCATAGGCTCATGGTGTGATCTCTGGTTATTCCTATAATTCTGACCTCTGCTGTCCCATGGGGAGTTTGGGGCAGCCCCTYAGAGTTTCCTTGGGCTGAATGTGGCTGTGACTCCGGCTCCTTGGGATCCTGTTCTGCTTGTAAGGCTCAGATGAATGGGGAGCTTCTAGAGAATTACTGACAAGTTCCCCCCTGCTTCCTCTTAATATGTATTTATTTTCCCCAAACTTTGAGTTCTGGTTGAATGATTATGAAATTTACTTGAAAGATTGCATTACATATGCGTGCTGTATATTTGTGGCCAGTATTAAAGAGTRCCTGAATGATGGAGTTACTCAAAGACAACTTCCAGGAAATGGAAGCGATGCTGATGTGGTAGTGAAATATCCAGAAATCTCCTTCAGTTCTTTTGGAGGGTGAGGAAGAAGCATACCGACTTGCCAAGTGCTAGCCTTGCTAGAACATTCTGTGCCTTTTTGCTCTTGGGATTAATTGCAAGATTGCCTTTTTAAAATCTGGCTTTAACATGAATCAAAGCATCAAAGCAGTGGAGCTTTGCTTTTTTTTTTTTTTTTNTTTTTTTTTTTTTTTTTTTTCCCCCCCTTCCCCTCCTGGCTCCAAGGCAGAAGGCCAAGCTGAAATGCCTCTTTGGACTATTTACATGCCAATCACATGCCCTCAGGAGGACTGGCTAGTAACAAGACCTTGTGAGGCACACTAGCTAGCTCCTGAGCCCAAGTTTAGAAATTTATATTAAGCTACTGCTTCAGTTTGTGAAGCCTAAACTGCTGAATTTGGAAGATTTCAGTATCTTTCTGATGGGAGCTCTCATGCTTTAGTTGAATAATCCTGTCTTTATGAAAGAGAAGGTTTTTAGAACAACTCTAGAGAGAAAACGGTGCAGAATTTCATCTGGTTGAAATACACTTCTTTATATAAATCTTTTCGTAAGCTTTTGATAGAGGGTTTTTTCCTCTGTCCTGATAATTTATTTTTCTTGCATATTTTGAGTGTGCTGAATTAACTTTTGTCTGATAATGAAACAAACTGCATTTTTAATGCAAGACAAAAATAYCAGTCCAATCAAACTAAGAATTTCCGAACGTGTTGCATAAATGATATTTATTGTGCTCATGTCTTCTCTTGCATCTACATAGGTCGAATTTGAATGCATAAATGAGAAGAAACGACAGAAGAAAAAAAGCTATAAGAACTCTGGCATTGTGAGTGTTAAGCACTGTGAGGTCAGTAAAATATTCTTGTTTGGCTGTTTGTAAGCATTCAGGTGCAACAGCTCCCATGTTCAGTATGCCCTCAAAATGTCTGGAACTGTAAAATCTGAAAGTTGTCTGCATACATGTCTGTGCGTTGAACATTTAAGGGTGCTGATTTATGTAAAGAGAAATAAACCTCAGGCAGCTGAAACAAGAGACTGCCCTGTACAGTCCCCCGCTCTCATTTTCTTGAGGTTGCTGTTCATATGGCAAAATTGCTTACCAGTTTTCAGGCTATTCCTGAACCACTGAATTTCCAAATTTGTCATATTATAGTGATTTATAATCTGTCAAGTCTGTCTTAATATATTGTGTTATTAGTGACTGTGGTTTTGGAGCTGTTTTGTAATTTCCATGTACTATTGTGAAAGTCCTGATTCTGATGTGCTCTCTGTGTGTGGTACATACACTGTAACATCCTCACTGCAGTAGTGGGGTGATGGAGAGTAAAAGCAGTGCAACCTCAAGAGTTATCCGATAACACCTGTTTTTCTTCTCTCTGAATTTTCTACTCTCTGTATTTTACTTTATTTATTTTTTTTTTTTTTTTAGATTATAGTAGAATGCACATTCCTTGACTATATAATGGGTGGATGCCAGCTGAATTTCACGGTAAGTTAATTATGTATACATATATTTATATAAAATAGCTTTTGAAATTTTGGAGCAAGCTAAAATGTGYCATTGATAAACTGTGCTCTTTATTTGATAACTGCATTTTTCATTATTCCAAAGTCCTTATTTTGTTTCTGAAAAATAATTTTCTTTGCCCTTGGTACAAAGATCTGAACCTTGAACCTCTGCTATGTTTAGTAGAAACTGGCTGAGCTGTGTGGAAGGAAAAATTTACAGTTCCCTGGTGGTTCAATTTGTTTTATGCTTCCTTTTCATAAGTGTTTGGTTCTTTCTTTTTTTTTTTTTTTTTTTTCCCTCTCTGCCTAAGATTTCTCTTTTGACCTTGAATGTGGTTTTCAAGGCCTTTTGCCCAGTGAAAGCAACACACAGAAGCCACGAATGGGGAACTGGCCCTGAAGTGCTTTCATTTGTAAAGCTCCAGTGGCACCTTGCAGTATTTTTCGTTATTGACCCAGAGAAAATGATCTCTTTACATCAGAGAAAAGACTATTCTGTGGTCTCTGGCTAGTCTTCTTATGAATCTGTGTATGGTAAGAAACAAGATGAACTTTACAACTTTTGAAGAGCTGCTGTGGATATTAATGGAAAGTAAACACAGCTGAAACATGACAGCTAAAATTCACCCCACCCCTTCTGAGGGGAGCAYGGATTTTTCCTGAGATTGGAAGGCTGGTTTCACTCCTGGTAGCAGTTTGGAGTAACCCTTGTGTTTGGTAGGTGGGGATAGATTTTACAGGCTCCAATGGAGACCCTCGCTCCCCAGACTCGCTGCATTATCTCAGCCCCAGTGGAGTTAATGAGTATCTGACAGCCATTTGGTCAGTAGGAATGGTCATTCAGGACTACGATACGTAAGTCAATTATTTTTATGAATACGCCTATATTTTTGTGGTGATTTTAAAATGGGCTGTAATGTGGAAGATGTGAGAATGGCAGAAATATATATATCAGAACGGAAGCTTTTGACCTCAGTGAAGGCTGAAAAAAAAAAAAAAAAAATCATAATCACCACTTTGCTTGTTTAGCAGCAAACAGGGCTTTTTGTGTTGTATACAACTATACAAACAGGGCTGTGTTGTATACAGCTTATTATTTTAAATAAATGTTTGAATTCTTGATGATTTAGTGTTAAAGACTTTTTTTGGTCCTAGATGTGTTTACAGTGGGGAAACTTTCACTTAATTTTTCCACTTAATTCTGAATAAGCTGCTTTTTTAATGATAAAAGTAGCACTGATTAGCTTAATTTACTGAACTATGACAGCTTTTAAAGCAAAGCACTCACTTCATTTTCTTTTGAATTGCTTTTTTTTTTAGAGATAAAATGTTTCCAGCCTTTGGATTTGGGGCACAGATTCCTCCTTCCTTTCAGGTAATGGAATATGTATTAAAATTGCATACAGTGCATTACATTGGATAGTTCAACGTGTTACTTCAGGAGGAGATTGTATGTACAGTTCTAACTGTCCTTCATGTATTGACAGGTGTCACATGAGTTTCCTTTAAATTTTAATCCATCAAACCCATTCTGCAGTGGTAAGTCCGAAACTAAATTTTTCTAAAATTATGTAAAACAATATATATCTGTGTGTTTCTGGTATCACTAGCACAGCTCTATGGATGTTAATGTCAATGATTCCAGTTTATGTTGGAAAATGTATCTAACTTATTAGACCATGGGCGTGAGGGGATAAAAGGACTTGAAAGGTAAATTGTGAAGCATGCTGATCAAACTAAATAGGAGAGTCCTCTCCTATTGTAAGAGTCCTCCTGTCCTCTAACAAGTATCTTCATTATTATAGCTATCATTTGTTCTCTCTAATGATTCGTGAAATAAATGTTTTGAACACTGGGGCACAGTATAGGCAGTCTAGGAACAAGTCTTCTATGTTGAAATGTCACTTCCCTGGTAATTCTAATATGAAAAGCTAAGAAGAAAATATCCTTGTTCCTCAGGAATCCAAGGCATTGTTGATGCATATCGGGCTTGCCTTCCTCAAGTGAAGTTATATGGGCCAACCAATTTTTCTCCAATTATAAATCACGTGGCAAGATTTGCTGCTGCAGCCACGCAGCAGCAAACAGCATCTGTAAGTTCTTTATGGTAGTGTGTGTATTTCTTCTCATTTTTGTTTCCTGCCTGTATGCGTTATTTTTCTCTTGTAAGCTTGTAAGTGTAACGTCTTTCAGCAACTTGCCATTTACCCTGTGAAATTGTAGTTAATATTCTTAAAACTAGATAAAGTCTTACTCATTCTTGCAGGTTGTGCACAGCAATTCTGTTCTAAATTAAACTCCTGAGAGAGCTGAAGTAGCAATTTAAATGTGACATTTTTGTGTGATCTTTTAGACTAAGTTCTTGTAGTGCTATACAAATATTTAAGTCTAAATTAAACCTCTAAACGTAGTAGAGCATCTTAATGAGAAAGTTAGCTGCGGTCCTTGCTTCACATTGGATAACTGAGAATTAAGTAATAGGATAAATAGAGGATATAGTTCCTGACACCTAGGTACCAATAATGATATTGAACTGCCCTTACTATGAAACTGTATGTGCTTTCTGCCCTTACTATAAAACTGTATGTTCTCTATGCATTTGTAAAAATTGTGCCTGTGTTCCTACTACAAATTAAACGTGTGAGTGGCTGACCGTATTAAGGGTTGGCAAATTTGAAGACTGAGTCTTGACTGTCAGAGCACCTATGTTTAAGAAACCTAAATCTATCTATATCCTTAATCATTCAGCATACCAAATCTCTCTCTAATCTTTCTGAAAAAGAAATCAGGAAATAAAGCTAGTGATTTTTGCCTATAGTATTGCTCATGGGAAATAATTTGGAAAAGAGCTGTGGATTTTTATTCACAAAGAACTTTGTAATGTTTTGCCTTGGTGGTTTACAGTAGTATCTGTAATTGATATTTATATTGGGACAGTAGCAGAAACCTCCTGTCTTTTTTGCTAGGTATATTACACTCACAAAAGAGATACCTTCTATGTGAGCAGATATATTGAAGAAAATATCCGGTAATAACCAAAGCCTGGTGTTAATATTTTTTTTCTTTGTTATAACACTGTGTTTATTGGTTTGACAGCAATATTTTATACTTCTGATCATAACGGATGGTGTAATAACAGATCTCGATCAAACTCGAGCTGCCATAGTCAATGCTTCAAAACTGCCCATGTCCATTATCATTGTTGGTGTTGGGGGAGCCGACTTTGATGCTATGGAGTTTCTGGATGGTGACAATGGAGTTCTTCGGTCCCCATCTGGAGAACCAGCAGTCCGGGACATTGTCCAGTTTGTGCCATTTAGGAAGTTCCAGAATGTAAGTAATCTTAGCCCTCTGCTTAATAAATCTTGCAGAGGAATGCTGGGTTTGCTAGAATATCATGGAAACAGTTATGAGCTGCTGTAGTGACCTGGAGATGAACTCTGAAGTCTGAGATTTGTCTTCATCAAATGCTTAAAAAAAAAAAAAAAAGCGAGAGGGAGAAGTGGTAGTTGTAGGAACAAAAGCCTTGAGCCTTTGTAGAGTTGCCAGTAAGGAAGTCAATTCTGTAAAGTCAAAGCTGTAAAGACTCCTTTGCACTGCGTTTCTGACCAGTTRTTGCAGGGGAATGACCTTTTTGAATATCCTTCAGACTCACTTTAGTCTAAATAAATGGATATGTTGTYTATGTGGGAGGAAGAAGATACCACTGTGATTTTTCTTCTTATGGAAAAGTGTGTTTTATTGTGGACATGCTAGTCTGTTATTGTGGATCAGGTGCAGCTCAGTGTGTGTCATGTTTTAAAGCAGTGTTAAAATCCTAGGCCTAGCCAAGGAGGTGGTAGGCATTAGAAATTGTGAATAGTCACAACAGTGGAATTAGTTTGAATTTACATTAAAGCAAAGATACCAAAAAACAGAGGAGATGAGAGAATGGAATCCTTATTTGCTGTACAACCCAGTGAAATGTGAACAGGCTCATACAGTCTCTCATTTAAATGTCACATCTCTGTCAAAAAAAGTTGATTCTTAAGAAAATTCAAAACAACTTCTGGGTGGGGAAAATAAGACCAGTACAAACTACCTTGAAAATTGATAATTTTAATACCAGCCCTAGCATGTTCTAATTTTGTTGATTCTTAATCTTGTTCCTATCCTGTTAATAGTATTGTACTGACACAACTAAAATCCGTGTCTGCACTCTGTGTGGTAGCTACATACAAATAAATATATCTCTATGTGTGTGTATGCATATAACTCATATATAAATTTTAAGTCATCCAGCTCATGTGACTGCAGTGGATGGAGGCAGTCAGCTGGTCATGGGAGTGGAAAGGTAGGGGTGACAGGGAAGCTTCCCTGTCTCCCACAAGGGCATGTGCAAGTTCCTCTGCGGCCACTTCTCCTAGGATCTCCTCCGACTGTTAATGGAAACTGATACTTGCTCTTCTTCTCTTAATAAGGCTCCCAAAGAAGCTCTGGCGCAGTGTGTCCTGGCAGAAGTCCCTCAGCAAGTGGTGAACTACTTCAGCACCTACAAACTGCAGCCCCCAAAGAAACTTGCTGCAAAGTGAAGTGGTCCRGCAGAGGACTAAGGCTCTGCACCTTCACACAGCCCTTCGTACCTACAGGCTTTGATTCTTGAGATACTTTTATATTCGTGTATATACACATACCTGTATAGTAATAGCTATTAGCTTTTGCCTGCAAATCAAAAATCAAAAGTGTGCCTTTTAAGAACCAAAATCATTATTGTTCTAATTATTCATTTGCGTAATGGGAATTAAGTGGGTGCATTTTTATTTTTAAAGTAGCAGCGAAAAGAGAGAAGTTACATATTCRGGGAGAATAACTGAGAATGTAATGGCTACCTTGGATGAAGGTTGCTTGGATTCTTGGATAAATATATTCAGTGAGATGAACTCTCACTTCAGTGGGGATCTCCACAGAGTATTGCTGTTTCTCAGTGAGGTGCGAAAGAGGGTGTAGCTGTGCCAAGCACATAAAAGTAGGTATGTGCTTCAACAAATCCAGCATGCGTCAGCCTTCTAGGTCTACCATTACAGGATTTTATCACAGTAGTGGCCAAATTTAGGCTAGTGCCAGAACAGAGTGTAGAAGCCATCCTTGCTTGCGTACTTCACATTTGCTACTGCAGTGCCTTTTGCCAGTGCTTGGGATTCAGGCTGTGTGAATATTAGCCAAACAAATAATTAAGTGCAACTCCTACACAATCTGTGTGTGTTGCAGGGATGACCAAGGTGAATCAAGGTAAGACCTCAGGCATCTCAGACTATTGGCTTTCAAGGCTACCACTGTAGAGACTGAGATGTGTTTGGGTGCCTTCCATTCTGGAAAAAGGGAACTTCAGGTTGTCCTTTGTCCTTYTTTTCTTATGTAAAGTAATCACATATAACTATTGATCTTCAGAGGACCTTATTGTGAAGTGGAGTGTAGTTGAATGTCTCATTTGTCACTTCCAAAATGCCTATCCTAAATAGTAACTTTGCATTTGAGCATTTAAAGCATTTTRAAATTACACAACATCTGACGGATCTGATCTTGACTGGTCTATCTGTAACAGATTAGAAGAAAATGAACTGTCTATGTGGGCAGTCAAGATTGCACTGGATCACAGTGTATGTGCCTTTTTCAATGACTGGAGCTGCTCTGATTTTATTGTTACTCTATTCCATTTGGGTATAATCCTGTCAAAAGTAAGAATTTGTATTCATTTTGTTGACTGCAAGATACATACACATCCTATACTGCACACCAGATGGTTTGTAGGTMATTAACTCATCAATCATGAATTACTGTATTACTCCTCACTCCGTTTTTTCCTGGAGGATTCCAGATAGTTTTGATAGTGAAATACTGAGGGAGAAATTTTGTTTCATATTAAGCCAAGCTCACTTTCTTTTTTTCATCTTTATATATAAATCTGCAGTCATACTTCGAGTGAAGTGCAAATATCATATTACTTTACATATAAAGTGCAATGAATTGTCATGTCAGACATGCAATGGAATATTAGGATGAAGGAAGCAGTTACAATTAACATGAATCACAGCTGCAAATTGTTATAATATGATTTTGGAGCAGTAAATTGTTTCACAAACTAGTGTTTCATTTGGAGAGAGGATTAGATGCTTTGTCCAGAATCACTGTGGTGAACATACACTAGTAGTAGGAATATTGAGTAGTACTGAAATGTCTCTGAGCTGTCTCTGTCTTCCCCTCTCCACCCCCCAACAAAACAAGATGACAACAACAACAAATCTAAGTTACCAAGTCTTGCAGTGCAAGTGCATTTTAAATGCCATTGAGGAAGATGGTCGGTRTTTTATATCAAAATCCTGCATATAAAATACATAAGATGTTTTGGTTTGGAACAGACAACAGCAAGAACCTTTTTCCAGATGATACAGCTTTCTGAGAGACATGYAGCTAACGGGCAGCTGAAAAGTTTGGGAACGTCAGGGTTAGGTTGGAACAATGTTCTGAGGCAAGAAATGCATCAAATTGCGAGTCAGGGATTTGAAGGTTATTCTGTTTTTGTCGATGTTGTTATTGTTTTTGTTTTGTTTTAAATATGTAACAAATGCCATATTAGCTTGATGGTGATAACACCAGTGCTATCTTAAGTTCTTTGCAAAGTGAGTGTGCTTGTAGGTCACTTGCACCACCTTGTGATAAAAGAGATGTATAGCAGTTTTCATAATCAGATGCTTTTTGCCATTTAAAGGACTTAATATATGCATATGTACAGCAGAGAAATAAGTATGACCATTTTTTAAAGTACTTTCCATATATTTTTCAGTTCTGATGAAGTTAACTGATTTATAATGCCAGTGCATTAAAACTCTAATTTCATTATACTAATGTGCTTTCTTATTCATCATTTTATATGAAAGAGGGAACAGCACTTTCACACCTGCTATAATGAGCATTCCACAGGCTGCAGATGGCTCTGGTATAGATAACAAATGTTAGCACATAAGAGGGGAAATGCCTGTTTTGCTCAGTGGTTACAAATCTGCACAAGTATTTTATAAAGTGTAAGATACTAGCTTTTAGAAAAAAAAAAAAAAAATCTGAAGTCACACAGTTCAGCAACAATTTTTTCCTGTCCCTGCCACATTTGCAAGGGGCTTCCTCGSTCAGATCATTCTGTTCAGTTCTGGTAAATTTTTCAACTCCTTATTGAGAGCCTTCTATGCTCTGAAGGGAGAGGCCTCAGGACACATACATTTGATTTCAAATATACTGTCCTACTGTACCCTTCGTAGTGTCTTGGCATTCAAGTATAACCAAGTCTGAGATATTTTATAGGGAAGCTGAGAGGTGCTAGAGACACAGCACARTGTGGGGCCTTGGAGAACTTGAGTTTGATACTGCGAGTTGCATCATCTCCGTACTCTGCAGTAGTTCAGTCAACTTCTGTGCAAGTCAGGAATCCACAGGGTGGAATTAGTTTCAAGAACRGCTTCACCTATCTTACACATGGAGTAGCTCTTGTTTCTTTAAAGCATTTAGCCTGCATTTTSAGCTAAGAATAACACACAGGTGAGTTTATTTTCACTCCTACTTCCCACTGAGGTGAAGAACAAAWTGCTTCACCAAGTAAGGAAGATAGCAGGTTTAGGTGTGGATGGCTGCTTAGTAGCAGGCTGATAAAATGTCTTTCACTGCTAGACTATCATCTTTCCCACGTGTCTCTCTCTCTCTCTCTCTCTTTTTTTTTTTTGGAGACTGCTTGCAAGCTTCGCACATGAAGGGGTTTAGCACATAGGATCCTAGAGAAGAAGGAAGGCATGTCTGCTACAGGCAGGATGGTTTCTCATGAGCTGCTTACTCTGCTAGTAACTGACAGGACACCTGCTCTTACTGCATATAATTTGCTTTACTTGGTAATGGATACCTGATTACTTTCCAGTAACCCRGCTTCTGAAAGGCTGTGATTAACTGTGTCCCTCTCACATAACGCTGGGACTGAATGCTTCTCACCTGATCTCGCACTGGTTCAGTGAAGGGGTATATTCTTCACTACTAGTTTTTAGAGAGGGTGGAACTTGCGAATGTTGCCTTCTCAGTGGTGTCTGAAGAACTGAGGGGAGGTATCTAGGTCTGCAGAAGGGAAGACAAGAGTGCTCAGCTGGGGAAAACTAATCTAGGCTTCTGCCATCCTAACGTGGTAGTAATTGGAGCAGGAACAGCATTTACATGGATTTACCTGCATGCTCATGCCYTGGCCCTAAAGATAACCTTATACAGATAGCAGGCTGTCCTGGCTACCTTGTGCGCTATGTATTATTTTGGTGAAGACCCTATGGATGGTTAGACTGTAGGTCCCTTCCTGCCTCTCCTGTTCTACTCTCCAAAACAAAAAAAAAACCCAAAACCTGGAGGAATTGTGTGAAGTAAAGGGATAAACACTCCAACTGCAGAACAGTTGGAATAGGAGGAAACTAGATGGATGCTAAGTCTGTGCGGCCATGTTCTTTTGCAAACACTGGCATTTCTTCTCTATCTGAGTCTGAAGAGCCAAGAACTCTGCACAAGTTGGTAATTTTGAAGACAGAACTGGCAACCTTTCCTGTAAACCTGAGCTGTTAAGAGGTGTAGCAGAGCGGTAGCTCCAGTGGGATGCTCTCCTGCAGTGTAATACTTTATGCTGTAGACTCAGCCCTTCCTTTGTAGTGTGTCAGTGTGTGACTGATGAACTTCAGTACACCAACAGCAAAACTACTTGTTTTCAAATTACCTGGCAGCATTTGTCGAGGTAGAAGGGGCTCAGGTGTCTTGCAATAAGAACTCCAGTTATCAGTATCAAAGTGTTAAAATTGGGGGGGATGATCTGCTTTTCCCCCCTGCCATAACCATTTGCCATCTTTGCCGCAAAAGTGATGTAACAGCCATATATCATCATGAGAGATCCTCTTAGTCTCAGAAGGCCTTGTTTRTACAGCAAGTGTTCTGCAATGTTTCTGATTTCTGATTTTGTCATCATGTCTAGATATTCCTGGATGTGCAATATAGATGAATAATTCTTTATGATGTCTCTTATCATTTCCACCTCTGTTATATGAGATACTTTTTTATTTTTACATATCAAATGCAAATAAAGATGGATCTTACCATGCAGCAGTTAAACCTTGACCTCATTAATGCAGCAGCATTGTGTGTTTGAAACAGTCCCAAGAACATGTGGCATATATAACATGCAAACTTCAGTCTTCTAGCTTTCATACAGGCAGAATTCCCACTGATTTTAGATGGGCCACCAGCTTTCACTGAATCATCAACCACTTGGACTGGCAGGTAGATTTTAGCAGGTTCAGCTACAGCAGGTTGTCCAGGCTGGTCTCGGAGTCCAAGGACAGAGACTCTACAATCTMCATGGGCTTCCTGTTCCTGTGCCCAACCAGCTTCAAACKGAAGAAATGTGGGGGRTTTTATTTATTTATTTATTTTTATTTTCTCAAGTTGAACTTTCTGTATTTGAGTTCGTGTCCCTCATTTCTTGGTGTGTCCCTGGGAGTCACTGAGAAGAGTCTGACCCTGTCCTCACCTGCCGAGTCTTCTCTCAGCCTCTCCATGTATGAGATGTTCCAGTTTCTTAATCCCTTTGCCTTTGATTGGAGAAGTTAAAGGGTTTTCTAAAACAGGCCTAATTATATATGACCCTGTGTGCTATATATATATGGATGGCCTGCAGAGTGAATTATTTCATTTCCTCATTAYGTTTTTTGAGCAGCTGTGAAACCTGCCCTTAGGGTGTCTTGGCTAGTCCCTGGAGAACAGCTTTTGTTCCTGGTACTTGCAGTAGGAACTGAAAGGGGATTTGGAGAGAGAGAAGGCATGAACTTGTGGAAGAGAAAGATTTGGAGGATTCTTGGGGTTTTGGGGGTAGCTTTCTCTTGTTTTACCTTAGCTGTTTGTGTTTCTTTAGATGCACATGTGGATGGTTGTTGCCATGTGTGGTTGGTTTAAGTGAAGAAAGAAAAGAAAAAGCTGCTTCGAGGCAGAGCATTGACATGGGAGGAGCCTCTCAGCTGTTCGCCTGGTGAAGGGTTTGCTCCAGCCTCCACGTGTGACATAGCCCAGGCCTTGCAAAGCGCCGGACTCGCTTGGGCCTGTGCTGGAGGTGAGAGATCACAGCCGTGAGTGCCTTGCCTGGAGCTCTGCGTCGCAGAGCCTCAAATCCTGCCTTCTGTGAAACAACCTTTGTGGTTGCGATGGCAGCYGCTTCAGAGAGTGAACCAAAAGGCTGGCCAGCTATCAACTGCTTGCCCCGTCTTCAGAGAGCATCATTAATGGCCAGCCCCCCACAGAGATCAAACAGCCAAGTCAACAACTCCAAGGTAAAGGTCMCTTCTGGGACAGGCAAACAAGCAAAATCTCAGGACAATTTTATTTCAGAGTCCATAGAGAAAACTGGAGCAGAGGCTCCTATTTTCAAAACGTTGGCAATAATTCTGCTTCCCCTTTGTGTTGGTTAGTTGGTTGGTTGGTTTTCTTTCTGTCATTATTTATTTGGGAAATGGTGAGCGTTAGCCCCCTCTCCCAAGCAAAAGCATCCAAACACATACCACCACAGTTGTCAGTGCTGTGCCATACTGGTCACAAAAGCAAATCATTTACTAGAAATACAAGAGGAGGGGAGAGAAGGATGGAGAGAAATATGACCAACCTTAGCAGTAGTAGCACAGTAACAAGAAAAAGGATAACTATGGGAAAGCAGAAGAGAAAATAAAAGAGAAGACATATGAAAAATAGAAGCAAACTGAGCAATAAGAACAGCAGCAGGAAGGAGAGAATAAAGAGGAGAGGGAAAAGGAGAAGCAGGAGCAGTATGGCATAAGAGATAACAGAAAGCATGGACAAAACCAGAAATAAGCAGTCCTGAAATATAGTCTAAGCTCTAATTCCTACCACACCAGAAGTTCTCTTTTCAGGATCAAGGCCAAAATGTAAGTAGCTATACGAGAGTTTGCCCAGTTGTCCTGGGAGAGGAGGGAGGGAAGGAAAGGAGCGGGTGCAGGTTATTCCTGGAGCAGTCTCTACTTCTCTTATGCACCTGAAAGCAAGGTCACACTAGCCCTCTGGTTTCAGCAAGACATTAGATAGGGTCTCACCCAAAGCACCCATCTCTTCCTCTCTATTCCTCTTTCTTCTCTTCAACTTCAACCTTAAGAATCTCTCCTTCTCCTGCTATGGGGGAAGGAGCCATGCTAATGATTAGAGGCTTCTTAGGGATTTTTTCATCCATCGCTGGCTTAGCGTCTGCATCCGGCTTTTCCTTTTGCACTGGGAGTGTAGAGGGGGCCGCACCCTCTGGAGGCTTCTTATCCTCTTTTGGGGGTTTCTGCTCATTTTGTTCAAGCTTCTGCTCATCTGCCTTAGCTTGTTTTTCCTAGAAAGGAGAAGTTACACATTTCCAATTGCTGCAGAGGAAATTCAAGTAGTTCTATTTCTGTACATTCAGTGGTAAGTCACAGCATGGGTACTGTGATTAAGATTGTGCAAAGTACAGAAATTTGCATTCAGCTGCTGAAATTCCGTTTCTAAGTAAAAAAAATGCTATTTCAAAATGAAAATATCAAAATAAAATCTAGAAAATGCTGTATATAGTATCCATTTTGCCTTAATGCAGTTGGATGGAATGGAGTTCAGAGCACATAAACCTTTCTTCAGGTCTCACCTTCCTCTATATGCTTATATTAGTATAGTACAGTATTAGTACAAAATATTTAACTGAGTTTTTGCTTCAGTAGTAGTGTTGTAGAAACCTACATGAACTAAACTGTGCATTTAACTKAAACATAGCCAGTTCAGCTATTAAAAATAGAATAGGGTTCTGCCACCCCTGGATAACTCTGTAAAACTGAGTAGGTTCTTATTAACATGAGCGTCTCTCTGAAGAGTTGGTAGTGTGGGAATTGTTTTCCATCAACTGTAATAACACTTTTTTCATAAATGCAATATATTAAAGATTGAATCAGGTTTAGCTGTATAGGTTAAAATTAAAATTTTGTCCTCAAGATTTACAAGAAGAAAAGATCTGAGCTTGGGATGGAAAGTGGGTGGACTCTGTGTTTGAGTCAGCTGGTGTTATTGCTATGAAATATCCTAATATTTCTGTGTTTRCTTTTCCTTACATAAAATAAAATATCAGATGTAAGTCTTAGTAAAATCTAATTTGCCCTGCTGCCCATGGGCTTTTTTATTTCTTTTTCCTTGCTGCTTTGCTTTTGTTTTCTCTCTCTGACATGTAGTCCAGGAAGATCTGAGCCAAGGTTCTGAAGCAGTGTTTAGATATTGAGTACAATGATTAATATCACACCTACTGGGAGCTTTTGCCATTGATTACACTGATAAAGCAACATTCTTCTCTCCCTAGTTTCTCCTACTAGCCTCTCTCTGGAGGAATCTACCCAGCATTCTGTGGCCTTACCTGATCTTCTTGCTCTCTCTTCAGCTTCAGCAGCGTAGCAAGGCCTGCTTTTCCTTTACCGCCGAGCATTGCCTTGAACAGTTTCGGAGTCTCCTGCTTCTGCCCAAACAGGCTGGCCAGGCCGCGGGGCGGTGGTGGTGCTGGGGCCGGCTTCCCCTTCTCCTTCAGCAGCACCCTGGGGACGGGAAAGAAAGAGCTCACAGCAGAACCCAGAAACCTTCAAGCAAACCTGGAATTCAAGGATGAAGATCCAGCAATTTTTCTAGCCATTTTGTTCTATCCAAGTTCTGGTGGCCAGGAAAAATCTGTAAAGACCAAGGCTTTTATGCTGGTTTGCTACTCTGCAAGAGCTTATTGGAGGCTGCTATTCCAAACTAATCTGGAATTTCTTACCTATATCTTTAGAGTAGAGCGTACTCCAATTAAGGTATCGTAAAGCACCTGGAAGCCTGATAACATGGAAAATATCTGGGGGTGGGAAAAGGGAGGAGTGCCTGGTAGCCAGGATCCATCTCTGCTGTCTGGCCATCCAGATGCAAATTCAGAGTATTTACTGCTCTATTTGGAGTCCAGCTGATGCTCCAGCTAAGAGCAAGTAGTGTGGACCATACCTATATTAGAAAGATGCTGGAAATAAGGCAGGAAAAATAATTGCTAGGGGCTCAGTCAGTGGGTTTGTTCTACCTTCCCATCAATTGATGCTGGTTTTGAGAGTAAGCATCTCTGAAGACCATCAATGTGAAAACACTTCCCAAATGGACAAGATTCCCCTGTTTAGTACCATGGGCTTCTCATCTTCTTTCCTGTCTCACTTGGATCCATCATTGAGTCTGGGATACACATGATCACAGAATCACAGAATATTCAAGGTTGGAAGGGACCTCTAGAGATCATCTAGTCCAACCCCCCTGCTCAAGCAGGGACACACAGAGCACAGGGTGGCATCCAGGTGGGTTTGGAGACCTGCAGTCTCCCTGGGTAGCCTGTTCCAGGGTTCTGTTGCCTTCACAGGAAGGAAGTTCTTCCTCACATGCAGATGATCCCTGTCTTCAGTTCATCTGGGCACCAGTGTCGTGGAGAGACTCCCTCCTGATATTTTTTAATGTCACTCACTCCCTGTCAGTAAGCTCCCAGTGATCGGCCTGGTTCTTCTCACCTTACCTTCACCTGGTATCCAAGCTCCTCATTGTTTTTGGCTATCAGGCTTCATTATATTGTCATGAATTCAGGTTTCCTTTCTCTCTTGCTAAACCTTATACCATGAGCAGGAAGTGCGACGGGCAAGAGTCCAGCAGACTGTTTTGGGAAACACTCTATGGACTAGACACGCTTTTCAGGTGGCAGTAAGCCTCCTGTATCTGTGATGATTATTAAGATTCTGCTACTTGATAGCCAAGGTTGTTGAAACATGCCACATGCAACTGTTTGCTGGCACTTCGCTAAATGTGTCACTCCTGTACTGTCTCATCTCCTCTGGGGGAATTTCAGATTTGGGAGGTCTTTCCACATTTTGATTTCATGGTGAGAGCAGTTTGGAACAGTAGAGTGCCAAAGTCTGCTCAAAATGAAAAGCTGTTTCATGTGTTTGGACATTTTAGATTTAGAAGATAGCAAGGAACTCATTTTCATAATTCTGTTTTGACAAAATCTGACAATATTTTGTCCTTACAAAGCAAGGAGAAACTCACCCTAACAAGTTACAGCCAAAGCAAGATGAAAAAGCAAACAAACAAGCAAACAAAAAATAAATAAAAGGTTTCAATGTGAAATCCTGCTCCAGAACCCCTTTAAACAAAATGCACACCTCTCAGATCTGTGTACACATCTCTGATCTTGTCAAGCCTTCCTCCAGTACACTCCTATTTATCCTTCAGGATTTTGGAAATGTATTCAAGTCTGTGGGCACACTAAAGCTTATGTTTGTAGAGTTCATGGCATTTAAGAAGTCCTGATATGTACTTCCTATTTGATTACCTCAAACATAAATGAAAGATGACTATTCAGAACTTCGTTTTATTTACCACATTTCCACAGTTCTAGGCACTCCTACCAAGACTATGGCCAGAAAAACTGAACATCTGAAGACAAATGTGTTTATATTTATTATTCTTCCAGGAAATTTTCCTCCAGAAAAAAAAAAAAAAAAAAAGAG